ATATTTACGAATCGGCGATTTTGCCGACTTTGACTCCTATTTTAGGGCCAATTACATGATTCCAATCAACCAAATTCTTAGCCTATTTCACCTAGTATTTACTTCTTTCTATTCTATCGATTGAGCACAAGAAATTCGCCAGTCAAAACTGTTTCAACTACAAAAAAAGTGATCGGAAAATTGTTAATTGGCTGCCAATTTACACAAAGTTCAAAATATTCCAATTTCAAAATAGGGTCCAGATGACCAATGAGGCATTCTGCACTAAACTAACATTTCCTCTGTTCATTTCGTTATGTTTTGAGGCTTTACAAATAAATTCATTTTGATTTTTTATTCACATAATGAATTTTTATTCACACCAAAAAATAGAAGATTTACTGTTATGCAATACTGTAATAATTGTATAAATATCATCACCCATAATTGTGAATGTATATTAGACCCACCAGCTGGTGTGTATTAGACGTGTGAGGTCGTTTGGTTTTACTCTTGAATACGGCAAAAATTTAACATTTCTGCTACTTTGAGCTCAGTTTCAAGCCATTTTCAGTGCTAAAACACAATCCAAAATCATCTCTATTTCTGTAATATGTTCTTCCATTCTATCAAATGAGACCAAGAAATCGCAAATACAACTATAAAAAACATAACGAAAAAACACTGCAAAGTTGCTGTTTTAATCGAAAAATCATGATTTCATTTTTTTTCTCTCATTATACACAGTGTGCTGCAGGATCTGTTTTATGTGGTGCACACATACCACATAGATGTATTCCTCTCATATCTAGGCCCAAATGTACCATCTCACAGTTTAAATTCAGAGTGAGCTGAGTCTCATCGGCGTAGATCACGGTTTGGACCCTGAACGTAAAGCCGTAGATCTACGGGACGGACCCTGAAAGGGTTAAAAAATAAGATACAATACATAGGAAAATTTACGTACAATGTTTCAACCATGAACAGGCATCAAATACACAAGGACATATTGGAAAACATTTTAGTACAGCCCCCTCCTCAAAACTTAACGACAAAGTTCCATTCCCCAACCACACGTAAATGAATTCATCGTTACTATAGTAGTAGTGGGTTTGTGTCAACCATCTCTTGTGATGTTTTAATGTCACATTTACACCATTCATAACATTTCTAGTATATTGTTAAATGTTATACAGTAGTGTACTGTATACTGTAATGAACAGAAGAGAAGAACTAGCTATAATATACATTATTTAGGTATGCATACTGGTCAGAGTCCGTCGAAAGACCGAGGCATCAGTAAATGAGTACGTAAAGTGAGAAGAGGCGAGGCTGTAAACATCAAGGACAGAATCAACCCATCAGGTAACAAGATATGCCATATCAGCCATTTCTAACAATGGCTGATATAGTTATCAAACATTACCTGAGTATATTGGATGGCCTGCTTCCTGAGTATTATCTAGTTGAGTGACATGTCTGTAAAAGAAACAAGTCTCTTGATATCTTACCCATGTATCCTGAATCCTGGTGAAGTATTGTGGCTAGCTGGTCTAGTGGCTAACGCGACGGGCTGGAGTTTTGAGACTATGACCGCGGGTTCAATCCCGGCCGGGGGTATGGTCTGGTGAAGTAAGTTACATCAATTCATTCAGTGAGAATTCAATATGCATCACAAACCTCTGAAAGTCGAAGTTCATCATGATAGCAAGATTATGACTAGCTTTTTTATTTGAAACTAGAGAATGATAAAAAAAAATTCTTTCTGTGGAATGAACAACAGCATCTTCCTAAAAGATTAATCCTAGTTCCAGCAATTTATTAGCAGTTTATCAGGCTTCAGAAAAAGCTTTAAAACTTTTACCTAAAGCAACAGACCAGTGTCCCTAACTGGTGACCTGTCATTTAACACATGACCACCAGGATCATAAAATTAAAGCAAGTGGCAAGGTCAACAAAAGTACTAGAGAACTTCACAAAACATCAATTTCAGCTAAAATGTTAACATGGAATAGTAAACTACAACAGTAACATGAGGACTACTTTGCCTGATTTCAACATTAAAATTCATTTTTTGACTACTTGGTTCACAGGTGTTATGTTTCAAGTCACTAACAGAAAATGGTACTAAATATGCCAAGTAGGTCAAAAGAATTTAGATCCTTGTAAACTGAACCAACTTTAAATTATTAGCCAAAGAGACAAAATGCATAAAAATCTTACCATAAGAAGTGGAGTCATGCTGCATATTTGTTCTGGAAACAGAAATCATAATTAACAATCATGTATAACCCAAAAATAACAATGCCTGTAATATATCAGTTTTGCACCAAGCAAATCTGAGATTCTGTTTCATCATAAATCTCCAGAGCAAACTTATAACTAGAAACTGTGGCAACACTTTTTTTTTTTTTAAACATGTTGGCTGTCTCCCACTGAGGAAGGGTGACCCATAAGAGAAGAACACTTTCACCATCATTCACACAAAATTGTACTTTACATTGTCACCCAAGAAAAATCTGTTGCTTTTTAAAAAATACTAGGAAAAAAAAACACCCATGAAAAAACGTTACCCACAAATGTGCAGTGTTGCGATGAACTGGAGCAAACCACCAGGGATTACAACTTTGTATTTGTATTAATTTCACACTCGAGACAGGTATCGACATACTAATTTCAGAGATCAATAGTTAACTGCTATAAGATGGAGGGGATGCAGAGGAAGAGGATAGGAGGAAGAGAGTGGAGGAAGATGTAGAGCAGGGAGAAAACAAGAGGGACAGATGTAGGAAAGAGGGAGGAATGCAGAAGGGTGAAGGAGAGGCAGCAAGAAAAGGGACAAGAACCAAAGGGTGAAGATGGAGGGATGTCAGGAGTGGAGGGTGGAGAGCTGGGGCAGAGAGGTGAAGGAAAGAGGAAATGTAAAAGGAAGGTTGATAGCCTGAAAGTAAGGTAGGGAAAGGGGGTAGGGAAAAAAAAAAAAAAAAAAAAAGGATGGGAGAAAAGGGATAGAAGGATAGAGGAAAAAAATGGATAAAAGCAATACAAGGGCACATGTAGGGAGTGCTATGAGGTGGAGAGTATGAAAGTAAATAAAGATACTTTGGGATCAATATCTCAGCAGGCAAGTTTCTGAAAGATGCATCACAATCACTGCAGTAACAGACAGTCAATGAATTGCCAAGATTGGCAAAGGAATAAAAAAAAAAACTCAATAGGGAGGTGGGATACACAACTTACAGATGCAGCAATCAATACCTTTATTCAGGGCATTTCACTCACAGTGGGCTAAGTTACTGACCTGACGAAGCCCACTGTGTGGCCAAAACATTGTTAACAATGATATCCAAAGTATTTGTCATTCACCTTGCCTTGCCAATATTTACACACCATTTCAATTTAAAGACATGCTTTTACTCCTGTGCATGAAACACAATGTACTGAAGCAATTGATAGGGGGTTCACCAAGGTTTGGCCATGTAGAAAGGACTGATTAAAACGGCATAGAAATCAGAGGTAGATCAGAGGTTTCAAAATTGCAACAAGCTGTGGAAGAGCAGCTGAACCTGCAACTCACGCTGATTAAAATATTACAGGGTAAAGTTCCATGCACAGGTAACACCTACAACTGCCTTCCAACAACCGAAGAACTTCATTCATGATGCAGCCTCAACAGCCTCTGCAGGAATCAAATGATACTGCAATGTATTAAAAATGAATTGCACCACTGCATATACACAGCATATTAAAAGCAAAATTCAGTATGAAAAAAAAAAAAAAAAACCTTGGCAATTTAGGCATTAAATTATAAGTCATGAACTAATCACAGCCTTGAGAACACTAACACTGCTTTTAATCTTAAGTATGATGCAAAAACAAAACCCAGAATCCCGAGTAAAAAATCATCTACCACAAACATTTGTTTAGATCGAGTTTTGTCAGTGTCAATTACAGATCAAGAGCAAATATCACTGAATATAATAAATGGATACTAACAACAGCATATATGGTACTCACCAAATACAAAAGAATTTACACATTATTTTCTTCAACTTGCAATCTGTCATCTCCAAGTTCCAACTGCATGCTTTTATATGGCACTTGCAAAAAAACAGAACTACACAGAGCAATTAAAATATTATACAATGTTTGAAGCTACAGACATATTATATGTACGCCAGGAGAGAAAAGTTTTGTTTTGGCAGAAAACCACTTTTCATTAGAGAAAAAATATATCGAGTAATGCAGCTGTTTTTATGCATCAGTAATTCGCTTCCCCAAATAAATCATTTTCCATCATGGCATTCCTAAACGACTATCTACAAAGCCACATCACATTGAACCTGTAATTATGAATGGTGCACCATAACCATTTTGTCGTTAAGCCAGAATTACGCAGAAAAATTTAAACCACTGCTCCACTTTTGATCGAGGGGAAACAAGTAGATTTTAAAGCTCAGTGATGTAAGCAAAACAACACACACATGAAGGTAAACAAGGTTAACTGGTTACCCAGACTTGAATAAAGAAGGGGACAAGTCTACATTGTAGGGGAAAACAGTTTTGCTTTTCAGAGTCAGTTGAAGTGTGATGTTCAACAAAACTCAAGATGCAGTTTAATTTTAAATTATATAAAAAATCTTAAAATTGCAACATGAGCATGTTTAGAAACTAAATTCTACACCTAATTAGCAAGAGGTTTACCCAACAACCTATTACAACAATCAAGTGGTATCAAAGAATAAATTAATTGCAAGTGAAAAACTAAACATCTCAAAAGTAGACAAGATGAAACTAATTCATACATTAATTATACAAGCCAAAACTGTAGATAAATCAATTCGACAATCATTCCTGCAATATTTCCCTCAATTTTTTTTTTTAAATTTTGCACAATCCATTACATACTACACTGTATGTTAAATATACTATGAAATCTGTTCCTGAAAGTAGACAATGGTCAGGTCAAATTTATCTTAACTTAAAAATGCAATATTATACAGCTAGAGGAAATAAAAAAATTTGTTAACATTATATGTACATATATATTTCTTGTTTTTATACAAAATTATAACATACCCTTATATTAATATATAGACATGTTGGAATAGGCATAAACAAGAAAACAAGTTTATACAACCACTAGAATTGCATCATATGGCTGTTACTAAAACATTTATACAATCATACATTTCAATATACAAGTTCTATGAGAACACTATCAGATGCTCATGGCAAAACCAATCAGTCACGGGCTTGGTCAAGTTAAGTAAATAAACTGCCTGCAACAAATGTTTATATAGCATTTGGCATGCCTTCCACTGGAAATGTATAGTACAGCCACTGTATCCTTTCTGTACAATTTATGCTAACAAGGTCACCCCCTCCCTCACTGTTGTCCTTCTCCTTCCTTTTTGTCTTTGTCACTTGATGAGCTGCTTTCCCTCTCTGATGCCATCTGAAAAGAAAAGATTGAAATAACAGTAAATTTCTTACCTAGATGTACAGTTAATGAATGCTTGGAAAAAGCGTTACATTACAGTCTAAAAATTACACAAAAATTAAGGGATTCACTGGTGTACTAGATTTAACTAATAACTATTACCAAACTCTGGCATCAGTGCATTATATACCTCATGGTCTTTGTGACATGTCAAATATTAAGGCATCTTGTGTTATCTTATCTCCAACATTGTGCTGCAACAAGCAGAGAATATACATGGTATGATCCCGAGTACATTTCCATTATTACTTTGAAGGGTGAAAAAAAAAAAAAAACATGATTTAATGGATATTGCATACTACACAATCAGTTGCATCGACATCCAGAAACTGTCTGCAAACAATGGACTGCTCGTTTCCAAAACTACAGCAGGGCCCTGCTTATATGGCAGGTTAGGTTCCAGTCTACTGCCGTAAAGCAAATCGCCCCTTTTCACTTATAAATGCACATACGGTGGTCCCTCGTTTTTCGTAATTAATCTGTTCCTGGAGGTGCTATTATCAAAATCTACTATTTTCGAATCAATTTTCCCCACAAGAAATAACGTAAATATAATTAATCTGTTCGTGACACCCAGAAGTATCAACAATTTTTTACCTTAACCCTTTGAGGGTTTTGGTCGTACTAGTACGTCTTACGCGTAGGGGTTTTTGACGTACTAGTACGCATAAATTCTAGCGGCCTCAAATCTCGCGCGAAAAGGCTGGTAGGCCTAGGTGCGAGAATGGGTCTGCGTGGTCGGTGTGCGCGGTAGAAAAAAAATCTGGGACCCAGTGGTGCATTGTGGGAATGCCCTCTTAGTAAACAATGTCCACCATGCCTCGCGGTAAGAAGGTCCTCACTCCTCGGCAAATTGGGACACACTTGTTCCCCAGTGACAGTTCTAATAGTGATGGAAGTGCCAGTGAAGAAGGTGAGGTTTTGACCGAAACTAATGACCATAATATTGGTAATAGTGAGGAAAACCCAGACAACCCTCAGCCTTCCACCTCTGGTGCTGGGTCCTCTTGTTCACGTTCAGTTGTTCCAGAACCCAAGAGGAAACTTCTATTTTCCCAAATCCCAGACTCAGATGAGAGCATGGGTGATGATAGTGAATATGAACTACAAGCTCTTCAAACTAGTTCCAGTAGTAATAGTGAAGTGCAATATTCCCCAGTGAAGCGTCAGTATATACGACGATATATGCGCTCTGGTAGTGTGCCATATGTTATACCAAGGGGAAGGAGTTCTCGGAGTACATTTCCCCTGGCTGTACAACAGGAACAGACAGTGAAAATGACGAAGATACTGTTGCAATTGGGATGGAAAATGTGCGTGGTGGTAGTGGTGCCGGCGGTGAGGCACCAGCAGTGGGCCATTTCTGCCACCCACGCCGCTGCTCAGCTGATCTAGAACAAAGGCCACCATCCCCCACTCACCCACCACACCAGCCTCCACAACCACAACCTCCACAACCACAACCACCTGCATTGTCCAGTACCCCCCAGCAGGACCGACCCGGGATTGGCAGAAGCTGTCAATTTTTGTTCCAAATCCCCACCAGTTTGATGACACCCCAAAATGGGAAAACGGCCATCTTGTGTACTTGGGAAAAATGCCACCCAAACTGGGAAAGTTTCGAGTTATTCTTTGACGAACCACTGATGAAAAGTATTGTCATGGAAAGCAACACATACTACGAGTACACCATGGCAAACATTTCTTTCACCAAAATCACGTCTACACCAGTGGAAGGAGGGAACTGTGGCTGAGATGTATCTTTTCTTTGCCACAATAATCTTATGCCACATGTGTTTTAAGCACAAAGTAAATCATACTGGTCAACAGACCCCTGATTGCAACGCCAGGTTTCAGTGATATAATGCCAGTGAATCGATTTGTGCTAAATTTTCATATGCTTCACTTCTCAGATAAAACCAGGGCCCGACAGAACTGACAGTTTATATAAGATTAGGAATGTGTTTGTGTATCTGAAACAGAAATTCAGTATGCATTTTTTTCCCTCAGGAAGCTTGTAATTGACGATCTTTGATTCTGTTCAAAGGAAGATCCTTTCAAGCAGTACATACCAAGCAGAGGAAAACGCCCTTTTGGTATAAAGTTGTTTGTGCTTTGTGATTGTTACAGTGGTCTGGTATTTGGGTATTTACTGTGTACACTGGAAGTTATACATTGCAAATACCAGGAAGTTAAAACGGTATCTCAGGTGATGTGGTTCGAACAATGATAGAACCATACCCTTTGGTAAGGGGCATATATTAATACAGATAACTGGTACACAAGCCCCTCCTCAGTGATTTTTTGCGAGTGAATATGACAGATGTGTGGCACAGTGCGTGCAAATCGGAAACATATGCCCAGGTTTTTACGCTGGCACTCGTAGAGGTGAGGTGCAGGCGTTTGCTGCCAATGACATCATGGCATTTCAGTGGCATGACAACGAGTGTCACACTGTTGTCATCAATTCACCCTAATGAAATGGCAGACAGGGGAGGCAGCATAGAGAGAGAAATGAACCCCTTCTAAAACCTGCAGCTGTGATTGATTACACCTTCAACAGCGTTCAGTGGACAAATGTGACATGCAGATTGGGTTTGCTGATTGTGTTTTACAAGAGTTATAAGTGGTACATCAAACTGTTTTTCCATCTGGACATTTTCCCTGCTCAATGCTTATAATATGTATAAGATGAGCACCAGAAACAACCACAGTACGGCGAATTCTGTTTGTCTGTCATCAGACAAATAGTATTCAAGTACCAAGGAACAGCACCTGCAATTGACCGCCCACCAAATTTTTTAAAAACTACCTGCTCGTCTGAAGCATGGTGATCACTTCCTGGGAAAACTGCCTGCTACTGCTTTGAAGAAAAAGGCTCAGAAGAGGTGTTAAAGTCTGTGCACATACAAAAAAACGCACACAACAACGCAGAGACACTCGTTTTATGTGTGAGGAGTGTAAAACTCCACTGTGCAAGACACCATGTTTCAAAGAGTTCCACAGGCTTCAGAACTTCTAGAAACATTCCCTGGACTATGTGTGTATATAAAATATAGAAAAATAGTAATAAAAAATTTCATATCGTTTGTTTGTATAAATATTTTCTGTAAACAAAATAATGAAAAACAGTGTTTACGCCCTATTGTGTAGTATTGAAAAAGAAATAACTTACAAAATACTGATCATGTTGGCCTCAGAGGCCATAAAAGTTACTCAGAAAAAGAAAAATTGAAAAATAATTGAAAATAGTACATAAAGTAAATAGAAAAATACCGGGTGACGGCAGTCGGCGATGTTACCATATGTTGTTCAATTTTGGCAAATTTCACGCCTCCATATCTCGGTAAGTATTGACGTTAAATTTTTTTTGTTTAGCCTATAATGTTTAGAAAAAAAAACTATTTTTTCATAAGAAAAAATAATTTTTTTTTTTTGAAATTTGGCCGACCCTGAGAACAAGTTTCGGAGAGGGCCTGTCGACCCTCAAAGGGTTAAAGATAGATTTACATGCACAAAAGAATGAACATTCAACATGACAGTTACCTTTATTGAAGGCTGTTGTTGATGAATGGAAGACAGGGAGGAGGAGAGAGGGAAGAGAGGTTATTGTTTGGAAGGGGAATCCCCCTCCATAAAGAGGATAGGTTGGATAAATACATGAGTGAGAGGGGTTGGATTTGAGTGGGACTTGCATATCAGAGCTTATTTCTTGGGTAGCACTGAAAATTGGATTGGGCAAATATTTTGTTAGTGGGATGAATTGTAAAGGACCTGCCTAATATGGGCCAACAGGCCAGCTGCAGTGTTCCTCTTTTCTTATGTTCCTATGACTCTAGGTCACTTCAGGGGTCACTTACCTAGCTTAAATATAGATTTACATGCAGAAAAAAATGCCAAATAAATGTAAACCACTAATAAAAAATGTATAAACGAACATTGGGAATAGGGGTAGTTGATGAGTAACGGTCTGCATAGTAGGGTGATCAAAGCTAAAACATTGGGTAGTTTCAAGTTTAGGTTGGATAAATACATTAGTGAGAGGGGCTGGGTTTGAATCGGTCTTGCACATGAGTAAATAGGTTGGTAGTTAAGACACATAGGCAACATTTAAGCAACTTTATTCCGAAACGTTTCGCCTACACAGTAGGCTTCTTCAGTCGGGTACAGAAAGTAGGCAGGAGCAGTAGAGATGTGAAGACGATGTAATCAGTCCATCACCCTTAAAGTCGTAGATTTGAGGTTGTCAGTCCCTCAGCTTAAATGTTGCCTATGTGTCTTAACTATCATCCTGTCGGTATTGTATACCATTTTGATATTCACTGTCAGACACTGCAACACAATGGCGTCTTGGTACAGAAAACACCTTGGACAACTTCAAGTGAGAACCGTTCGTTCTGAGAGGGATGTGACCTACAACCGTAAAGCAAGATTAAAATGTTCTATACTTAAATACATTGTTGGTTTACTGCCTAAGTCTTCTCCATATGCAATTTTAACCCTTTCACTGTTGGTGCCGTATAGATACGTCTTATGAGCCAGTGTTGGTAATGTATTAATATGCCAAAATTGTAGCAGCTTCAAATCTAGCTGGAGAATGCTGGTAGGCATACATACGAGACAATGGGTCTGCATGGTCAGTGCACGCAGTATAAAAAAAATTGGGGCACCCACACTGCATTGCAGGAACAACATTTCAGTAGTCTTCGTTTACTGTGCCTTTCAGTAAAGATTATCTCGCTCCCCAGTGAATTTGCGACTTCTCGTCCCAAGTGATAGATCTAACACAGATGGAAGTGTCAGTGAAGATGAATGTTATGGTTTTCAATAGTTTGTGACCTAGAGCAATGCCCAGATACCAGATACAAATAGAGAAAAGGGAAGGCAGCTTGGGTGGAGAAGACAGCACAGATGGTGGGGAAGATGGTGTACATGAATACAGTTACAAAGATTATCATACATAGCAGCATGTGTAAAGAACCTAGGATAACCCAAAAGACAGCGACTTCTTTCCAGCATGGGTGGTGGGGAAGACAGAGTGTGTGGAAGGCAGCGTGAATGTGTAAACAAATTATGTAAACATTATAATGATTATTATGTTTGTGCAGTTATTGTGTTGCATACAAGTGGATATATTCATTACATTGGTCTCACAGGCCACAAAAGTTACTTCAAAAAATAAAATATTAAAGAAAAAATAGAAAAGTAAAAATAATATAACCGAATGTGAGGCAGCCTGGAGTTGCCCAAAATTGGGTTTCCCACTGTCAATTTAAGCCTCCCTCTTGGTAATACGATGGCAAAAAAAAAAAAAAAAAAAAAAAAAAAAAAAAAAAAATTAACTCAAAAATATTCTTCAGATTTGTTTTTTTTTTTTTTTTTGACAGAGCAGGTTTGTTATGAGGACTGTTGACAGTGAAAGGGTTAAAAGCTTCAGTCTGAGAAGAGTGAACCCTACAGAAAAAAAAAATGGTCTAAAACATGGCACACAATTCAGACCTGGGGTATAAAATAAGCAACAATATAAAAATCTTGTACCTGTACTAGAGTACTGTGTTAAGCTATTAATAAACTTTGCTTACTCAATGAATCACTTGTTAATACCTACTGTTCCCCACCACAAGCTGTATGGCATGCCCGCCCACCCATCCTCATGAGTATGCGACAAAACCAAAGTCAGCCAAGAAAAATTTTTAAGCCTCATAATACAACACAACTTGCTATCTTTTAAGACGAAAAATACAGTGACTAACTAGTGACTTAATCTGTACTTTGTTAAACTTGTGTTCTGGCATTAATGAAACATTTATTAAAACAAACATTCTGAATAAAATCTTACTTTTTTGTATGCCATTTCGAATAACTTTAGAGACGCCTGTTGAAGTTCACTGACTTGCTTCTTTATCTCTTCAGGGTCAGCAGTATCCTTGTTAGCAAGAAGCTCTCTCACTTTACTAATTTGATCTTTCAATTTTGAACTCTGTAAAAGGGATAATAAAATTATAGCAATTATGAAGGTATCTTATTTTTTTTTATTATCACACTGGCCGATTCCCACCAAGGCAGGGTGGCCCAAAAAAGAAAAACTTTAACCATTATTCACTCCATCACTGTTTTGCCAGAAGGGTGCTTTACACTACAGTTTTTAAACTGCAACATTAACACCCCTCCTTCAGAGTGCAGGCACTGTACTTCCCATCTCCAGGACTCAAGTCCGGCCTGCCAGTTTCCCTGAACCCCTTCATAAATGTTACTTTGCTCACACTCCAACAGCACGTCAAGTATTAAAAACCATTTGTCTCCATTCACTCCTATCAAACACACTCACGCATGCCTGCTGGAAGTCCAAGCCCCTCGACACACAAAACCTCCTTTACTCCCTCCCTCCAACCTTTCTAGGCCGACCCCTACCCCCGCCTTCCTTCCACTACAGACTGATACACTCTTGAAGTTATTCTGTTTCGCTCCATTCTCTCCACATGTCCGAACCACCTCAACAACCCTTCCTCAGCCCTCTGGACAACAGCTTTGGTAATCCCGCACCTCCTCCTAACTTCCAAACTACGAATTCTCTGCATTATATTCACACCAAACATTGCCCTCAGACATGACATCTCCACTGCCTCCAGCCTTCTCCTCGCTGCAACATTCATCACCCATGCTTCACACCCATATAAGAGCGTTGGTAAAACTATACTCTCATACATTCCCCTCTTTGCCTCCAAGGACAAAGTTCTTTGTCTCCACAGACTCCTAAGTGCACCACTCACCCTTTTCCCCTCATCAATTCTATGATTCACCTCATCTTTCACAGACCCATCCGCTGACACGTCCACTCCCAAATATCTGAATACATTCACCTCCTCCATACTCTCTCCCTCCAATCTGATATCCAATCTTTCATCACCTAATCTTTTTGTTATCCTCATAACCTTACTCTTTCCTGTATTCACTTTTAATGAAGGTATCTATGTTGACAATTATAATGTAGAAAAGCAAGTGTGCCTGTTTTTTAGATTTCTGAATCCCAAGCCAATTATGAATGTTATAACCCGTAACAAATGAAAAATTCCAAGAAATATACTACTGTAATAAAACTTAGCTAATTGATTCAAGATAGCCAGGATATGTAAATGCTTTGAGCAACTACCTACTCTGATTTCAACATTACCCAGTAAATACTGGGTTATCAGGGTAATGGAGGCACATATGGTAGAGTAGAAGAGGACTGATGCTGTTAAGTGTATGTAGAATAAAGTTAAATAGTACCACAAGGATACACAGGATTAAGTAGGAAAGATGAATATGATAATGTAAAGCATCAAGGTGAAGTGGTGAGCAGTGAAAACACATACTGAAGGTAAATAATATGAATCAAATGTGCACAAGAATTGGTTTCAGTGCAGTATTTATTAAGGGTGCCAAGCACTCCACCTACTAGGACTGGGATAATTATGGAACCTGTTATCCTACAGGTAGCAAATATAATAGTACTTTAACTTCATTTAACATTTCTCTCACCTCCTCTGCTGGAAGCTGATCTTTAAACTCTTCTATCTTGCTTTCAGTATCATGAATGATACTTTCTCCCTGATTAATTGCCTCCACCACTTCTTTTTTCTTTTTGTCTTCTTCTGCATACTGTTCAGCTTTCTTCACCATATTCTCAATCTCTTCCTTGCTTAGACCTCCCGATGACTGGATAACAACTTAAATAATAAAGAAATCCATTAATCTTATCAATACCAAACAAAACTTTCCATAACACATTCCTATTACTACAATTTCGAGATACAGTGTTGTGAAAAAAAAAAATATGTCGGCTCTTAATGTTAGTCTACAGTGTGATTTTTTGCAACAAGTACATTCAAAATTGAGCAGCACATGCTAAGACCTTTATAGTACAGTAGGGCCCCACTTATACGGCTAGTTAGGTTCCAGGCAACCGCCGTAAAGTGGAACACCCTTTTTTTCCACTTACAAATGCATACAAACACTAGATAACAAGTTTACACTAACATATATTAAGTTAGCAATAGAACCAGGCATCAAAAAACAAAAAAGTACAATACACACATAGTGCAATCATTATTTTATTTTATTATCACACCGGCCGATTCCCACCAAGGCAGGGTGGCCCGAAAAAGAAAAACTTTCACCATCATTCACTCCATCACTGTCTTGCCAGAAGGGTGCTTTACACTACAGTTTTTAAACTGCAACATTAACACCCCTCCTTCAGAGTGCAGGCACTGTACTAACCATCTCCAGGACTCGAGTCCGGCCTGCCGGTTTCCCTGAATCCCTTCATAAATGTTACTTTGCTCACACTCCAACAGCACGTCAAGTATTAAAAACCATTTGTCTCCATTCACTCCTATCAAACACGCTCACACATGCCTGCTGGAAGTCCAAGCCCCTCGCACACAAAACCTCCTTTACCCCTCCCTCCAACCCTTCCTAGGCCGACCCCTACCCCGCCTTCCTTCCACTACAGACTGATACACTCTTGAAGTCATCTGTTTCGCTCCATTCTCTCTACATGTCCGAAACCACCTCAACAACCCTTCATCAGCCCTCTGGACAACAGTTTTGGTAATCCCGCACCTCCTCCTAACTTCCAAACTACGAATTCTCTGCATTATATTCACACCACACACTGCCCTCAGACATGACATCTCCACTGCCTCCAGCCTTCTCCTCGCTGCAACATTCATCACCCACGCTTCACACCCATATAAGAGCGTTGGTAAAACTATACTCTCATACATTCCCCTCTTTGCCTCCAAGGACAAAGTTCTTTGTCTCCACAGACATCCTAAGTGCACCACTCACTCTTTTTCCCTCATCAATTCTATGATTCACCTCATCTTTCATAGACCCATCCGCTGACACGTCCACTCCCAAATATCTGAATACGTTCACCTCCTCCATACTCTCTCCCTCCAATCTGATATTCAATCTTTCATCACCTAATCTTTTTGTTATCCTCATAACCTTACTCTTTCCTGTATTAACCTTTAATTTTCTTCTTTTGCACACCCTACCCAAATTTTCTTCCACCAATCTCTGCAACTTTTCTTCAGAATCTCCCAAGAGACAGTGTCATCAGCAAAGAGCAGCTGTGACAACTCCACTTTGTGTGTGATTCTTTATCTTTTAACTCCACGCCTCTTGACAAGACCCTCGCATTACTTCTCTTAAAAACCCCATCTAAAAAATATATTAAACAACCACGGTGACATCACACATCCTTGTCTAAGGCCTACTTTTACGGGGAAAAAAATTTCCCCTCTTTCCTACATACTCTAACTTGAGCCTCACTATCCTCGTAAAAACTCTTCACTGCTTTCAGTAACCTACCTCCTACACCATACACTTGCAACATCTGCCACTTTGGGCCCCCCTATCCACCCTGTCATACGCCTTTTCCAAATCCATAAATGCCACAAAGACCTCTTTAGCCTTATCAAAATACTGTTCACTTATATGTTTCACTGTAAACACCTGGTCCACACACCCCCTACCTTTCCTAAAGCCCCCTTGTTCATCTGCTATCCTATTCTCCGTCTTACTCTTAATTCTTTAAAATTATAACTCTCCATACACTTTCCCAGGTACACTCAACAGACTTATCCCCCTATAATTTTTGCACTTCTTTTATCCCCTTTGCCTTTATACAAAGGAACTATGCATCTCTCTGCCAATCCCTAGGTACCTTACCCTTTTCCATACATTTATTAAATAATTGCACCAACCACTCCAAAACTATATCCCCACCTGCTTTTAACATTTCTATCTTTACCCCCCATCAATCCCGGCTGCCTTACCCCCTTTCATTTTACCTACTGCCTCACGAACTTCCCCCACACTCACAACTGGCTCTTCCCCTCACTCCTACAAGATGTTTTCCTCCTTGCCCTATACACGAAATCACAGCTTCCCTATCTTCATCAACTTTAACAATTCCTCAAATTATTCCTTCCATCTTCCCAATACCTCTAACTCTCCATTTAATAACTCTCCTCCCCTATTTTTAACTGAAATCCATTTGTTCTCTAGGCTTTCTTAACTTGTTAATCTCACTCCAAAACTTTTTCTTATTTTCAACAAAATTTGTTGATAACATCTCACCCACTCTCTCATTTGCTCCTTTTTACATTGCTTCACCACTCTCTTAACTTCTCTCTTTTTCTCCATATACTCTTCCCTTCTTGCATCACTTCTACTTTGTAAAAAATTTTTCATATGCTAACTTTTTCTCCCTTTTCTACCTCTTTACATCATCATTCCACCAATCGCTCCTCTTCCCTCCTGCACCCACTTTCCTGTAACCACAAACTTCTGCTGAACACTCTAATACTACATTTTTAAACCTACCCCATACCTCTTCGACCCCATTGCCTATGCTCTCATTAGCCCATCTATCCTCCAATAGCTGTTTATATCTTACCCTAACTGCCTCCTCTTTTAGTTTATAAACCTTCACCTCTCTCTTCCCTGATGCTTCTATTCTCCTTGTATCCCATCTACCTTTTACTCTCAGTGTAGCTACAACTAGAAAGTGCAATCATTACTTACCTTAAAATATTTATAGTCTTAATCTAGGGTGAGACAAGTAGTATTTATTATAAGAAATAAGTGTGGGGATGTATGGTATCAGCCAGGCTACCATACCAGGCCACCCCACCCACCCTACAATTCTATGATATTTAAGCATCCCAGAGCGATAAAATGTATATACAGTTTTACTCATACTTACCTTTTAAAAAATAGGGTGGATGAGTAGTATTTATTGTACAAAATCAAGTGTGGTATTTATGGTAGTCAGCCCGGGGTACCATACCAGGCCACCCCACCCACACATACAATTCTATGATATTAAGCATCCCCGAGCAATAAAATGTATATACAGTTCACTCATTCTTACCTTAAAATATAGGGTGAGATGAGTAGTATTTATTGTAAAAAATCAAGTTGGTATGTATGGTAGTCAGTCGGGCTACCATACCAGGCCACCCCACCCACACATACAATTCTATGATATTTAAGCATCCCAGAGCAATAAAATGTATATACAGTTCACTCATTACTTACCTTAAAAAATAGGGTGAGATGAGTAGTATTTATTGAAAAAAAATTCAATGGGGGTATTTATGGTAGTCGTCGGGCTACCATCCCGGGCCAACCCCCCTACACTTTTAAAGGGCACCCCAGAGGAAAAAAATGTAAACAGTTCACTCTTTAAACTTCCCTTTAAAAATTTTTTGGGAGTCTTAAGTGGGGTCGGGGAGTAAGTAAACGAGTTTAAAACGAAAAAAAATGAGAGAGAGAAAGAATGATGCTTTGAGAGGGGACGGCGCAAGTTTGAAAAACAAACCGGGCGAAGGCAAGTTTTGTAAACAAAGTGTACCTTTGGTTTGTGTACAATTTAAAATTGTTACATTTTTGTCTCTACTTTTGTTTATTTTTAAGAAAAAAATAAAGAAGAACACCCCATTCTCATGTAACACTTTTTGAAAGAAATGATGCTCTGGGGTAAAGGGCAAGGGAAATAAGTCACTGATTTTTTTTTGGGTTTAAATCCTGGGTTCTCTACACATATGTTTTTGATGAAAATCTATGTAACTGTTTTGTGTATACCTGAAAAACTTACCTACTTTACTTTACGAAAAGGAAAAATTTTTCCTACAGTTCCCCCCGTAAAAATTTTCTCTTATGTTGGGATTAGAAAAAAATGTTATTGGTTTCCCAAACATCTCAAAATTTTTTTTTTATTTTTTTCTTTTGGGAGGGTGAAATTTACCCTTTTTTTTAAGTTATTTATGGTGTTTATTACATAATTTTAAAAAAAAAATATCTTTGGATGGATTAAGGGAAAATGGGGTATTTTAACGTAATATACAACTTTAATGAAAACTGGGTGATTATTTTTTTTTATTATCACATCTTTTCTAAAATGGCATCACTTGTGAAAGTCGTCTCAAACCACATCTCATATTTATTTTTATTTATTCTATTTTTGGGGTTTATTTTAAATTTTTTATTTTTATGTATCATTTTTTAATTATAAAATTTTAAAAAAAAAATTCATAAAATGGTTTAATAAAAAATGGGGTGGAGTAAAAAAAAACGTTATCTATGGAGGCAAAGAAGGGAAAAGTATAAAAAGTATAAGTAGAACCAACACTCTTATAGGGTGTGAAGTTTGGGGGGTTTAAATGCAGCAGCGGGGAGACGGTTGGAGGCAGGGAGTTTGCCCCTTTTTAAAGGGGAAAATGTTTTGGTGTAAATATTATGCAGAAAATTCGGATTTTGGGGGAAATTGGAGAAGGTGGGGAATTTAAAAAAAAGTATTACCCGGGGGAAAGAAGAGGGTTTTGTTGAGGTGGTTTGGTCATTTAGAAAAAAGGTTTAAAAGGGAAATGCCAGGGGAAAGAAATATAAATCTTATGGGGGAAAGGAAGGGGGGGTAGGGGCGTCCTCGAAAGGGTTGGGGGAAAGGGGGGTAAAGGGGGTTTTGTGGGAAAGGGGGTTTGGGACTTCCAGCAAGCGGCGTAAAGCGTGTTAAAATAGGGTGAAGGGAACGAATGGATTTGGGGGACCTGACGTTTCTGTTGGAGTGTAAACCCAGGGAAAATATTTATTTGAAGGGTTTCGGGGTTTCCCAGCAAGCGGCTGAGCGTGTTAGTTTGGGAAAAATTTAAAAGGGGAACGAATGATATTTGGGGGACCTAAACGTTTCTGTTGGGGGTTTTGAGCAGGGAAAATATTTAGTAAAAGGGTTTTAAAGGGAAAACCCGGGTTTTTTTTTTCATATGGGTCGGATTTGGAGTCCGGAAAATTTGGGAAGTACAATGCCTGCATTTTTTTAAAGGGGGGGTTTTTGGGGATTTTTTTGGCAGTTTGGGGGGATATGTTTGTTTCTTTATATTTTGTATCTTCTGGGACTGTTGTATTCTGAGCACCTCTGAAAAAAACAGGGGATAATGTGCGAGTGTGGTGAAATGTTGAATGATAAATTGAAAGTATTTTTTTTTTGGGGATTTTTCTTTTTTTTTTGGGTCCCCCGGGGGGGGGGGTGGGTGGGAGAGGGCCGCTTTTTTAAAAAAAAAAAAAAAATATTTAACGTAAATACAACATTTAAATGAGACACAATATTTTTCATCACATTACAAACTAAATTCGGGGAGACATAAGACACTGATTTTTAATTTTTTAACCTGCATGCCAGCACAGATTTTAATTTTTTTATTTGGGGTACAGGTTACATAAGTAAAAATTATCAGAGCCATAAAAAATAATTTTAAAACTTTTAAAATTTTGGGAAAGGTTTCCAGACAAAATGGAGGGGGATTTAAGTGCTTCTGAGTCACGAAAATTTAAAAACAAACAGGGGGGGGCGCGGGCCCTTTATTAGAAAGCCCAGGTGGGGGGGGGCCGTTAGCGATTTTTGGCCCTAATTTGAAATGACTGAAATTACCCGGAACGCCGTAAAGCGGGGCCCTGCTGTTTTGTACTTTTCAATTTTATATGTTAAAATTTTTTTTTGCTAATCACATTTGGAAAAAAAAAAAAGGGGGGGGGGGGGGGGGAGGTGCAGGATCTTAAAAACCCAAAAAAAAACTTAAAAATACTTTAAAGTAAACCCCCATGCATATGTGAATCAAGGCTAAGGAAAATTAAACTAAAAAAAAATGAAAAGCCTTCCCCCCAAAATTATGCAGTAAATTTTACTTGTCAAAAACCCAAAAATCCCCACAATAAAACACAAGAACACACAGTAAATCCTCAAAAAAGAACAAAAGGGGAAAAGGAAGGGCCCCCACTGCACCGGCCCCCGGGGGTTTAAAGCCCCGTTTCACACAAAAGGGGGCCCCCGGGTTCGACCCCGGGGGGTGGAAAAAATTCGAAAAAATTTTTTTTACCCCTGTTGTCCTGTTAAACCTAGCAGCAAATAGGTCCCCCGGGTGTTGGGTCGACTGGTGTGGGGTCGCATCCTGGGGGCAAGTTTAAGGGGCCCCCAAAGAAATGAGTTAGCCCTCGATGACGCACTGACTTTTTTGGGGTTTTCCTGGGGGGTTTAACCCCCCGGGGGTTAAAAAAACCCGGGAACGAAATTTTATCTGAACCATGGGGGAGCAGGTCCATGTCGCCCCCCCCCCCAGGTTTTACCCCAATGACCTCCCATTGGTCACCTCCACTAAAGGGGATGGCACCAATGCCCCCCAAGCAGCACAAACTAGCGGCCCAACCACACCCATCTTGTATTTTTTTTTTTTTAAACACACCACCGATTCCCACCAAGGCAGGGTGGCCCGAAAAAAAAAAACTTTAAACCATCACTGCCCTTGCCGGGAAGGGTGCTTTACACTACAGTTTTTTAAACTCCCAAACTTTAAAACCCCTCCTTCAGAATGCAGGTTAGTTTAAATCTCATGAAATTTATCAACCCCTATTTTTAAAACTACCCCTTTTTTAGCCTAAATAACTTACTGGGGAGTTTTTTCCCACTCATCCAAAAACTCATTCCCAAAAACCAGTGTTTCCTAAAACCCTTTTCCTAATTAAATTTTTCCCAACTTGAAACCATTTTTTACGAGTCCTTTTGGGCGGGAAAATTTTCGCACCTATTTACACCCCCTTTTTTTTTAAATTTCCTTTTTTTCCATTATACACCTCTTCAATCCCCCCTAATTTTATCCCTTTTCGGGGAGAGTGCAATTCAGGGGCCCTCGGGGTCTACCTCAAGGGAAGATTTCTGAACATGGTTCATTTTTGTCATCCCCCTCTGTATTCCCCCAGGGCCATTTAAATTTTTACACCCCTTTTTTTTATGTTAGTTACATTACCATATAACTAAAGGGAACAAGCAAAATAGTTTTTAGTAAAAATTGGGGCAGTGGAATTTAATTTTAATGGGAAAACCTCAGTAGACAAAAAAGCCCAAAGAGAAAAATTTGAGCCCAAAACATTAACTTTCCCAGTTGTTTTTAATTCAGTAATTTTTTCCTCATATTTCCCCATTTTTGGCATCATTAAAAGTTTTGGGCAACAATAAGCACTTAATTTCAGGGGTTTTGGGCAGTTTAAGTTAACAAATTTTCCCAACCAAAATTTTAACAAACAAATAAGAACTACACATATCACTGTAAAGATAAATGGATTGGAAAAGGCCATGGAAAGTACATTACAACAAAATGGTGTGGGATGCAGTGTCAGAGTGGAGGAAACTGCCACCTGTAGCTTCAGCATCTGGCACCTTTACCTTTGATGAGTTATGAGTTTTAAGTTATTGTTCTTGGAGCCCGGCCACAGGCAAGGCTCATCTTCGCAATCTTGCGAAATTGTAGTTTCTGTTCATAACTAATACATATCTGAATTGTCCAAAACTTGTCACTTTTCATTATGCATGAGGCAATAATGTCATGTTTGGCAGTGGAGAAAGCAAGGAGTCAGCTACAAGTGATAGGGCCAAAGCAAAGCTAATCAAATGTAACTGTTACATGGCCAACAGTTGGCAGGCTTACCATACATCTTCCTAGCTTATTAACAAATCAAATAACACTACTTTGGTTTACCTAGGAAGGTAAGGTGTTGGGAATCTCTAAGCAATGGGTTTTGGCAGTCTCAGTGTACTTCCATTACACAGCTTATGAATCTGAATATATTCTCTTAGTTTGAGAAAGATGGAAAGTATCTGATTTTCTCAAAAAAGAGAGTCCATTATAATTCACTGCTTACCTTTAACCTATACAAGGCTAATTATCTGCACTTTTTAAGTCACCCATGGTTTCAATTTTCCTCTAGTGTGGTTTAATTTTATACAATTATTTAAGGTCAGTCACACCAAAATGCAAATGTTAAGAATACTGTTATAAAAATATCAGTTCTCTTCCCATTGCCACAAAGTCGTTAACAACTTTCTCACACTTTTTTAAAAATCAATTTGGTATAAAAGTGTTAGTATTGACAGGGAAGTGCCAAACTACTAGGGGGTCATGGTGCCAGGAGAATTAGGAATGGGGGTTAATCAGGTCTGATCTGAGAAAGTGCAAAATAAGTTAATTCCCTTGATGATGAGCCCATCTTTGGAATTAAAGCACCTCCTTTGAAGGGATACAAAACCAATACAAGTTACACTTAGTATTTTAAATTAGGTCATCCAATATGATTTTTTTTAATTTACATTGTGGTTAGTTTCATATGCAGCCATCAATTACAGCAGTACAGTGATTTATGCTAAAAATTCAAAAGAAAAATGTAAACACTTACTCTGCTGCTCTTTGCCAGTTCCTTTGTCTCTTGCAGACACATGAACAATGCCATTTGCATCAATATCAAAGGTGACCTCAATCTGTGGAATGCCACGTGGTGCAGGAGGAATACCCACTAAACTAAACTGGCCTAGCATTTTATTATCTGCTGCCATTTCTCTCTCTCCTTGGTGGACCTTTATCTCTACCTGGGTCTGACCATCAGCTGCCGTTGAGAATACCTGGAAAATAACAAAGTCTACATAACAGCTTTTTATTTTTCAGCTTCATTGGCCCTAAACTCCTACACCCACATTTTACCAGTGATGGTTTACATCACCACTACAAGTCAAGATAGGTAAGCAAGCACAATATTTAGTGGAGTAATTTATTTTTTACCACACTGGCTGTCTTCTACCAAGGTAGGATGACCCAAAAAAGAAACACCACTCACACTCATTGTCTTGCCAGAGGCATGCAGATTTAACAGTTCAGATGACCCTCCAAACAGCAAATATCCCCACCCCTCCTTTCGAGTGCAGGAATTGTACTTCCCACCTCCAGGATTAAGTAATGCTAACCAATTTCCCCGAATCCCTTCCCAAATGTTGCACCCACCCTCTTGTACCAACAAACTTTTACTACATACTAACACTACATTAAGTTTACCTCCATGCCCCTTCTACCCTCTTTCTCCAGCCCACCTTTCTCCCAATACTAGCTTACATCTTACCCTAAGTATCTCCTTTAATTTATAAACTTCCTCTTCTCTTACCTACCAATGACATTCTCCTTGTACCCTCATCTACCTTACCCCTCACTGTATTTACTGCTAAATGTTCTAAAAATATGCACATCCAGAAGTCTATACAACTTTTTATCTAATACAGCCCAAAAAACTGCTTTCACACCCTATATTGTTTTCTCTTTCTTTTTGGGTCACCCTGCCTTAGTGGGAAATGACTTAAAAAAAAAAAAAGTTTTACTTATCGTCAAACTTCTTTCTATACTTAGATCACAGTACAAACTTAGCTACTACACCTTGTAAAACAATTTCTCCAACTTCAGCCTTCAGGTCCCCTACATCAATTATACTCTCAATTTGATAAACTCTCTAAACACTCACCACCACACAAAATTGCACTTCTTTCTTGAACAGGTGAACAAACTAATACCTACCTCTCACATCTTGCCTTCATTTTAATCAGTATAATTCTTGAATTTACACTTGCATTCTTTTCCTTCCATAACTGATCGTTTAATATTACCATTACTACCTTAGCTTGAATGCTCTCATACACCTGACCCAATCTCATTTACACCTCCCACTGAAATTTCCTTACCCCCTTTAGCTTCATTTTACTTTAAGAGCTAGGACATTCAGTCGTTTTTTATTAATAAAACTCAAATCATTTTTCTTCGCATCCACATTAAACCCATGCACATTCAAATGACCCACCTGCAAAATTTCCTCCTTTGCCCTTTTAGCAACTGATATAAAAGGAGTTATTAACCCCTTGCTCCTCGCATTTTAGGTGCCTTTTTATGACACGAATGACTTACAGGAAGAATTTTCACCCACTTCCCCGTGGAAATGAAAGGAAACACTAAGAACAAGAACTATTAAGAAATTAGAAGCTTAGATAAGTGTGTAACCATACACACATGTATAACTGCCCATGTAGCATGAACTAGATGCAAGTAAATGTTTTATTACATTAGTAGATATTACGCAATAAAAGTTGTAATAGTGTATTTAAACCATACCCCCGGCCGGGATATGGTTTATTTGCAATCGTGTCATTACGATTTCTTAAGTCAAGTAGTGTATTTAACCCTTTCAGGGTCCAAGGCCAAAATCTGAAGTCACGCACCAGTGTCCAAGAATTTTCGAAAAAAAAAAAATTATTTTTTCTTATGAAATCGTAGAGAATCTTTTTGTGAAGGTAATAAAACAAAAAGTACGAAATTTGGTGGAAAATTTATGAAATTATGCTCTCGCAAATTTTTATGTGTCAGCGATATTTACGAGTTGGCGATTTTGCCGACTTTGACTCCCATTTTAGGCCAATTACATTATTCCAATCAACCAAATTCTTAGCTATTTCACTAGTATTACTTCTATTCTATCGATTGAGCACAAGAAATTGCCAAATCAACTGTTTCAACTACAAAATAAAGTGATCGGAAATTGTTAATTTGGCCAATTTAACACAAAGTTCAAAATATTCCAATTTCAAAATAGGCTCCAGAATAAACAATGTAGGTATTCCTGGAACTAAACTAACATTTCCTCTGTTCATTAGTTACATTTTGAGGCTTTACAAATAAATTCCATTTTGATTTTTTATTCGCATAATGAATTTTTATTCACACCAAAAAATAGAAGATTTACTGTTATGCAATACTGTAATAATTGTATAAATATCATCACCATATTTGTGAATGTATATTAGACCCACCAGCTGACGTGTATTAGATGTGTGAGGTCGTTTGTTTACTCTTGAATATCGGCAAAAATTTAACATTTCCGCTACTTTGAGCTCAGTTTCAAGCCATTTCCAATGCTAAAACCAATCAAAATCATCTCTATTTCTGTAATATGTCTTCCATTCTATCAAATGAGATCAAGAAATCGCAAATACAACTATAAAAAACATACGAAAAAACACTGCAAAGTCGCTGTTTTAATCGAAAAATCATGATTTCAGTTTTTTTCTCTCATTATATACAGTGTGCTGCAGGATCTGTTTTATGTGGTGCACACATACCACATAGATGTATTCTCTCATATCTAGGCCCAAATGTACCACTCACAGTTTATCAGAGTGAGCTGAGCTCATGGCGTAGATCTACGGTTTGGACACTCACCGTAAAGCCGTAGATCTACGGGACGGACCCTGAAAGGGTTAAGCCATGGACTGGGCTGCAGGAGCGTTGACCCCCAGCCCCCCCTCCCTCCAGGTAAGCATATAAATGTGCATGCATTTTTTAAAACTCACATTATTGGGATTTAACATTACTGTTCATCAACTACAAGTGTCAGATTTCAGTATCCAGTACATAGATAACAGAATTCAACTAATATACGGTTGGTAAAAACCTTACCACTTATATTACTGTAAACTTCCAAGGATGTTTACGTTATTACAGAGAGAATTACTAACCAGTTCACATTCCCATTTGGTAATTATTATACATCTTAATGGTTCTGGGAACCAATGCCCCCCCTCAGCCTAGCCCTAAGTCATATAGGAAATATGGCAGGAATAAGTACTGAGAAACTGTCAAAGTTCAGAAGTATGTATTAAAGCAAATACAATAGACCAGTACTCCTGCCATTGTCCAAATCTGTTTCAAACACACATCTGAATACTAATACATGCCTCCCGAATGACTTGACTAACAACCTAACTACATTTTCCTTAGTGAAACTATTCTATTCTGAATAAGAATATCAACTCACTTGTGATTTTCGCGTAGGTATAGTAGTATTCCTGTTGATAAGCTTAGTCATTACTCCTCCAAGGGTCTCAATGCCGAGAGAAAGTGGTGTTACATCAAGTAGAAGCACATCTGTTACATCACCTGCCAGCACACCACCCTGGATTGCAGCACCCATTGCCACAGCTTCATCAGGATTCACAGATTTGCTCGGAGTGCGTCCAAAAATGTCTTGAACCACAGACAAAACCTACATGGAGAGGTCCTTAGTATTAAGGGTAAATTTCCACAAAAAGATTAACGTGCATATACTATTTATAATTTTTGGAGTTAAGTCAATCCTTCTGAAAATTATTTTATTCAAATTACAGTGGACTCTGTTTTCGTTAGCCTCTGATGTTGTGATTTCCGGTTATCGCCGACTTTTCTCGTCAAAATTAAGTCTGTTTTCGAAATTTCCCCTTGTTGGGTTTAACAGAACTACGTCCAAGTGCCGGTGCAATAAGTCCTTCATACACATGATTTAAATTGATAGTTTTGGGTAAACTTACACTTTAGGTTATGGAAACATTCCATATTATTTTTGGAGATTTGCACTTTTAGTTTAATTACATTTAAGCATGTCAAAGTCAGTGCCCCCCCTACTAAAGGTGAAAAGAAAATATGAAGAAAGAACTTTAGAAAAACGCAAAGTTGGAAGATGAGAAGCAAATGCTACATCAGTGACTCTCTGCCATTGTCCAAATCTTTCAACACATCGAATAGCTATAGCCGACCGAAGATATGTGACAAGTACATTACAATTAAGCGATAGAAAAAGTCCCAATAAATCCAATTTGTGGATTTTTTAGGTCACTGACAATATACCTGTTGTATCTTACCTTAACCATCCAGGCTCTCCAATGCAAGAGTAAATATTTGTTATTAATAGAAGCACATTGGATTCATAAATGAGCAATCAATTTGGGGCAACATGCCGTGGTGCGGTTGAGGTAGATTTGCTCGAAAACTTTAAAATGTCTGAACACAGAAACCTATGGAGAGGTATAGTATTAAGTTATTTTGGGGAAAGCTTGGGATTAAATGCAGCAGCATGGAAGTTTGGGGAAAGAGAATTCCTTCTAAATTGTTTTTAAATTATGCAAAAAATTCGGATGTTAGTCTGAAATTTAGGTGAATTGTGGTTAATAACATATTAGTCAAGGCAGAAGAGGTTGTTTTGTTATTCCTCGTTTGGAGATGGATAAAAGAAATCCAGGCCGCTGCAAACTAATAGCCGAAAACCCGGGTTAGGGGTGGCATAGGGTTGGGAGAGGCGGTAAAAGCTTGGGTAAGGGGCTTTGGGAAATTTCCATAATAGTACTGTGTTTTTGCGTTGTGATTGGAGCTAAATGGTACTTGGGCCCAAAGATGTTGGAGTGGCAGGGTAATATTTAGTAAAGGAACAGGAAAATAAAATTTTTAGAAGACTTGAGTTGGAATGGGAAAGGGGAGACTGCCTCACTTTATAGGGGGTTAAAATTTTGACAAGTAAAGGTTTGTTGTGTTTTTATATGGAAGCATTAAGTGTAGTATTACATACTCAAAAACATAAATAAAGGCGAAGTATCAAAATGTTGATTGATGTAATAGGTCCTCTGAATTTCCTGTTTTGCCACCCTGCACCGGTGGGAGCCCCATGTAATAAAAAAAACAATAAAAAAATACATTGTTTTGTGTGAATAGTGGTGATGCTGGCCGCCGCTGCTGCCACCGCCACCACCACCACCACTGTATGTACAGCTTATGCTGTCAGTGGCCCTGATAACCCAACAACACCGCCACCACTCCTCATATACATGATATTTATTCATTACAGAGTATGTATCATGTTTCTATGTTATTAATATTTTTATTATATCACATTAGATGAATTTTGATAAATAAGCCATAGAGTTGATATAAGCATCATATTTAAGTATTTTGTTCTGTCTCAAACTCTCCTCCTCCTCTCCTTGCCGTTTTCCATACGCCAACAAGACTTCAATAAACGTAAAAGTGATTTAAATGTTCATTCATCCATTTTATTAGTGTTTTATATTTCACATTGTTTTCTGTATATGAAACTATAGTTATTCTCCATAAAATGTATTTTTTGTTAATACTTTTGGGTGTCTGAAATGGATTAATTGGATTTACATTATTTCTTATGGGGAAAATTATTTCGGTTTTCGTGATTTTTGGGTTTGACAACCTCGAATGGATTATCACGAAAACCGAGGCTCCACTGTATACTACATTGGAAGAGAAATTATTTACCTTTGGCATACGTGACATTCCACCAACAAGAATTACTTCACCAATGTCAGACTTTGAGCACTCTGCATCCTTGAGCGCCTTGAGGCAGGGATCAACGGTGCGCTTGACCAGCTTGTCGACAATGCCTTCAAACTTCGCTCTAGAAAGCTATTTAAAAAGAAAATTTAATTTTGTTTTAATTTCACATAACCAAAAGAAAAAAAAAATAGGAAGTAGAGAAATTTTATATAAAATTAACACTGCAAAGTACTAGATAGGCAATGACCAAATAAACAAGAATATTACAAATACTGTCAAATTTGTCTTTACCTTATACATCATATGTTTAGGTCCTGAGGCATCCACAGTCAAATATGGAAGGTTAATATCGGTTTGGGTAGAGGAAGATAATTCAATCTTGGCCTTCTCTGCTGCTTCTTTGAGTCTTTGCATGGCCATATTATCTTTAGTGACATCTACACCTTGCTGTAACAAAACAATTAAAAGGGCCACTAAAATTTTGCTATTTTACAGTATTTCACTAAAAGATTTTTTTACTTAAAAAGTAATGAAATGGTAAGCAGTCCTACATAAGAAAACTAACGCTAAATATTTACAAAGAAAACTAGAAAACCCTATATATTTACAAAGATAGCTCTTACTCAAGTTCCTACTTCAAATAAAGTTACATGTAAACCAAAAGTTGCTCAGAAAACAGGACATCGAGACACTGAATCTTGTTTTTTATTTTTTTTTTTATTATCACACTGGCCGATTCCCACCAAGGCAGGGTGGCCCGAAAAAGAAAAACTTTCACCATCATTCACTCCACCACTGTCTTGCCAGAAGGGTGCTTTACACTACAGTTTTTAAACTGCAACATTAACACCCCTCCTTCAGAGTGCAGGCACTGTACTTCCCATCTCCAGGACTCAAGTCCGGCCTGCCGGTTTCCCTGAACCCCTTCATAAAATGTTACTTTGCTCACACTCCAACAGCACGTCAAGTATTAAAAACCTTTGTCTTTCCTTTTACTCCCCATCAAACACGCTCACGCATGCCTCTGGAAGTCCAAGCCCTCGCACACAAAACCTCCTTTACCCCCTCCCTCCAACTTTCCCAGGCCGACCCCCTACCCCCCCTTCCTTCCACTACAGACTGATACACTCTTGAAGTCATTCTGTTTCGCCCCCATTCTCTCTACATGTCCGAACCACCTCAACAGCCCTTCCTCAGCCCTCTGGACAACAGTTTTGGTAATCCCGCACCTCCTAACTTCCAAACTACGAATTCTCTGCATTATATTCACACCACACATTGCCCTCAGACATGACATCTCCACTGCCTCCAGCCTTCTCCTCGCTGCAACATTCATCACCCATGCTTCACACCCATATAAGAGCGTTGGTTAAACTATACTCTCATACATTCCCCTCTTTGCATCCAAGAACAAAGTTCTTTGTCTCCACAGACTCCTAAGTGCACCACTCACCCTTTTCCCCTCATCAATTCTATGATTCACTTCATCTTTCATAGACCCATCCGCTGACACGTCCACTCCCAAATATCTGAATACATTCACCTCCTCCATACTCTCTCCCTCCAATCTGATATCCAATCTTTCATCACCTAATCTTTTTGTTATCCTCATAACCTTACTCTTTCCTGTATTCACCTTTAATTTTCTTCTTTTGCACACCCTACCAAATTCATCCACCAATCTCTGCAACTTCTCTTCAGAATCTCCCAAGAACACAGTGCCATCAGCAAAGAGCAACTGTGACAACTCCCACTTTGTGTGTGATTCTTTATCTTTTAACTCCACGCCTCTTGCCAAGACCCTCGCATTCACTTCTCTTACAACCCCATCTATAAATATATTAAACAACCACGGTGACATTACACATCCTTGTCTAAGGCCTACTTTTACTGGGAAATAATTTCCCTCTTTCCTACATACTCTAACTTGAGCCTCACTATCCTCGTAAAAACTCTTCACTGCTTTCAGTAACCTACCTCCTACACCATACACCTGTAACATCTGCCACATTGCCCCCCTATCCACCCTGTCCTAAGCCTTTTCCAAATCCATAAATGCCACAAAGACCTCTTTAGCCTATCTAAATACTGTTCACTTATATGTTTCACTGTAAACACCTGTCCACACACCCCCTACCTTTCCTAAAGCCTCCTTGTTCATCTGCTATCCTATTCTCAGTCTTACTCTTAATTCTTTCAATAATTACTCTACCATACACTTTACCAGGTATACTCAACAGACTTATCCCCCTATAATTTTTTGCACTCTTTTATCCCCTTTGCCTTTAACAATTCCTCAAAATATTCCCTCCATCTTCCCACACCTCTAACTCCTCCATTTAATAGCTCTCCTCTCCTTTTTTTAAAACTGACAAATCCATTTGTTCTCTAGGCTTTCTTAACTTGTTAATCTCACTCCAAAACTTTTTCTTATTTTCAACAAAATTTGTTGATAACATCTCACCCACTCTCTCATTTGCTCTCTTTTTACATTGCTTCACCACTCTCTTAACCTCTCTTTTTTCTCCATATACTCTTCCCTCCTTGCATCACTTCTACTTTGAAAAACTTCTCATATGCTAACTTTTTCTCCCTTACTACTCTCTTTACATCATCGTTCCACCAATCGCTCCTCTTCCCTCCCACACCCACTTTCCTGTAACCACAAACTTCTGCTGAACACTAACACTACATTTTTAAACCTACCCCATACCTCTTCGACCCCATTGCCTATGCTCTCATTTGCCCATCTATCCTCCAATAGCTGTTTATATCTTACCCTAACTGCCTCCTCTTTTAGTTTATAAACCTTCACCTCTCTCTTCCCTGATGTTTCTATTCTCCTTGTATCCCATCTACCTTTTACTCTCAGTGTAGCTACAACTAGAAAGTGATCTGATATATCTGTGGCCCCTCTATAAACATGTACATCCTGAAGTCTACTCAACAGATTTTATCTACCAATACATAATCCAACAAACTACTGTCATTTCGCCCTACATCGTATCTTGTATACTTATTTATCCTCTTTTTCTTAAAATATGTATTACCTATAACTAAACCCCTTTCTATACAAAGTTCAATCAAAGGGCTCCCATTATCATTTACACCTGGCACCCCAAACTTACCTACCACACCCTCTCTAAAAGTTTCTCCTACTTTAGCATTCAGGTCCCCTACCACAATTACTCTTTCACTTGGTTCAAAGGCTCCTATACATTCACTTAACATCTCCCAAAATCTCTCTCTCTCTCTACATTCCTCTCTTCTCCAGGTGCATACACGCTTATTATGACCCACTTTTCGCATCCAACCTTTACTTTAATCCACATAATTCTTGAATTTACACATTCATATTCTCTTTTCTCCTTCCATAACTGATCATTTAACATTACTGCTACCCATTCCTTTGCTCTAACTCTCTCAGATACTCCAAATTTAATCCCATTTATTTCCCCCCCACTGAAACTCCCCTACCCCCTTCAGCTTTGTTTCGCTTAGGGCCAGGACATCCAACTTCTTTTCATTCATAACATCAGCAATCATCTGTTTCTTGTCATCCGCACTACATCCACGCACATTTAAGCATCCCAGTTTTATAAAGTTTTTCTTCTTCTCTTTTTTAGTAAATGTCTACAGGAGAAGGGGTTACTAGCCCATTGCTCCCGGCATTTTAGTCGCCTCATACGACACACATGGCTTACAGAGGAAAGATTCTTTTCCACTTCCCCATGGACAATAGAAGAAATAAAGAAGAACAAGAGCTATTTAGAAAAAGGAGAAAAACCTAGATGCATGTATATATATATGCATGTGCGTGTGTGAAGTGTGACCAAAGTAGGAGTAGCAAGATATCCCTGTTATCTAGCGTGTTTATGAGACAGAAAAACAAACCAGCAATCCTACCATCATGCAAAACAGTTACAGGTTTCTGTTTCACAGTCATCTGGCAGGACGGTAGTACTTCCCTGGGTGGTTGCTGTCTACCAACCTACTACCTACATCTTGTAGAGAAAATTATTACTCGCCACACTGGAAAAGCCAATAACAGCTTCTAGGAAAAATTATAAATTCTGTTGAACTTACTTCTTTCTTAAACTCTGCTGCCAAGAAAGTTACTAGGTGATTATCAAAGTCCTCTCCACCTAGGAATGTGTCTCCATTAGTAGATTTCACTTCAAAAACACCTTTTTGTATCTCGAGGATTGATATGTCAAAGGTACCACCACCTAAATCGTACACAGCTATGCTGTAAGGAAAGGATAATTGCAATTTATTGTTTTAGACATATGATATATACTAAGTCTTGCCAAATCTTATCCCTATAACTAGGTGCAATATATACACATTAGGGCAATTCACAAAAATGAAAGCAAAAACTATCATCTCACCCCATTGTCATCAAAAGAGATGAAACACTCCACACCAAGCATCAAAAGCTTTGGGGGCTCATTTAGGGATGCCCTGATTACCTCACTTTCACTTCCTATAAAACACGAATTCTCATTTTCTCTAGGGGGAAAATGAAATATTGGAAAGTATAACAATAAATAATAAACAATTTCCATATTAAGTAAATAATATTTTTAGCACTGGTTGTCTCCCACTGAGGAAGGATGCCCTACAAAAATAAGGCACTTTTACGATCCCTCACTCCATCGTAGCATCATTTGGCTTTTCTTATTCTAACCTTTTATGAATATACTGAATCACGAGATGACCCCTCACCTCTTCATACAGCTATAAATTCCTTTCTTTTCTACTACAAGATGTTGGAGCCTCCTGTTCATCCATATTTGATCATATTTCTCTAGACGGAATAATGCTCTCTGGGCAGCATGCATAGTACAGTGGTCCCTCGTTTTTCGTAATTAATCCATTCCTGGAGGAGTTACTATAAACGAAATTTACGATTTGCGAATCAATTTTCCCCATAAGGAATAATGTAAATACAATTAATCCGTTCCTGACACCCAGAAGTATTAAAACAAACAAAATTTTTACATGAAATATACAAGTAGTACATAAACAATACAATGGGAAATGATGAAACATTAACAGCATTACGCTTACCTTTATTGGAGATTCTTCTTAGTGTATGGGAGACTGGAGGAGGAGAGATTGGATTGTTTACAGTTTGGAAGGGGAATCCCCTTCCAGCAACACCTCAGGTACCAATTGCTTTTCTGGGGTTACTTCTCTTCTCTGTTTCTTAATGCCACTAGGACCACCATGAGAGTCACTGGAGTCCTGTCTCACAAAACTGTGGAGAGAGCTCTGTTTCTGGCATCTCTAACACTTCTCTAAAATGGCCCAAGACTTTGTCACTGTACATATTTCTCACCTTTACCACAGGCTTGGCACTAGGAGCTTTCTTTCGAGCCATGGTAGCTTATTTAGTACTTGCAAGCACTAAAATGAGTGGAATATTATGAAATATTTCGTAGGAGCACTTGAGGGGACCTTCACTCACTGGTAAACAAAATCAGACTGGCTGGGTAGGGAGGCCTCCCCAGCTCACACTGTGCTTACGCGTCCCGGACAAACTACTATTCGCGAGTCAACCTATGAAAAGCGAGTCCATGTTTATACGAAAATACCCCTATGATTGGCGAAATTTACGATTGCCGAGAACTACGAAAAGCGAGGGACCACTGTATTTAGAAAACGGTCATATTAGGTCTCTTCATTACTCTGGGCCACACATGTTCTTTAAGCCCAGTGTAATCTGCTAAATGGAAATCTGGGACCCCTTACTGGATAATTTTCCTTATCCCCATTCAATGTTTAACAATCTATCAGTGGTCACTTGGGCCAAGTTCCTTTGTAAACACTAGATTACTAACAAGGGTTTCTTTATTTGCCAGAATTAAACCAAACAGGTTATTTACCCTCAATGGATCTGTTACAGTTTTAAAAAAGTTCTAGGATGTCATTTCACTCTTTTAGGAGTGAAGAAGAATAGACTGCGAGTGTGGGAGAGGTGCGCGAGGCATTACATAGAATGAAAGCGGGTAAAGCAGCTGCAACTGACTGGATTATGACAGAAATGTTAAAAGCAGGGAGGGATATAGTGTTGGAGTGGTTGGCATTTTTATATAATAAAATGTTATTTTCATAGTCGGACTTGAGTCCTGGAAATGGGAAGTACAATGCCTGCACTTTAAAGGAGCGGTTTTGGGATATTGGCAGTTTGGAGGGATATGTTGTGTATCTTTATACGTATATGCTTCTAAACTGTTGTATTCTGAGCACCTCTGCAAAAGCAGTGATAATCTGTGAGTGTGGTGAAAGTGTTGAATGATGATGAATGTATTTTCTTTTTGGGGATTTTCTTTCTTTTTTGGGTCACCCTGCCTCGGTGGGAGACGGCCGACTTGAGAAAAAAAAAAAACAAAAAAAAAATGTATTAAAGAGGGGAAGGTACCTAGGGATTGGCAGAGAGCATGTATAGTCCCTTTATATAAAGGGAAGGGGACAAAAGATTGTAAAAATTATAGAGGAATAAGTTTACCGAGTATACCAGGAAAAGTGTATGGTAGGGTTATAACTGAAACAATTAAGAGGTAAGACAGAATGTAGGATTGCAGATAAGCAAGGAGGTTTCAGAGTGGGTAGGGGATGTGTAGATCAAGTGTTTACATTGAAGTATACATGTGAACAGTATTTACATAAAGGTAAGGAAGTTTTTATTGCATTTATGAATTTAGAAAAGGCATATGATAGAGTGGATAAGGGAGCAATGTGGCAGATATTGAAAGTATATGGAATAGGTGGTAAGTTACTAAATGCTGCAAAGAGCTTTTATGAGGATAGCGAGGCTCGGGTTAGGGTGTGTAGAAGAGAGGGAGACTACTTCCCAGTTAAAGTAGGTCTTAGACAGGGATGTGTAATGTCACCATGGGGTTGTGAAAGAAGTAAATGCTAGGGTGTTCAGGAGAGGGGTGGGATTAACTTATGGGGAATCAAATACAAAATGGGAATTGACACTGTTGCTTTTTCCTGATGATACTGTGCTTATGGGAGATTCTAAAGAAAAACTGCAAAAGGTTAGTGGACGAGTTTGGGAGTGTGTGTAAAGGTAGAAGTGGAAAGTGAACATAGAAAAGAGTAAGGTGATGAGGGTATCAAATGATTTAGATAAAGAAAAATTGGATATCAAATTGGGGAAGAGGAGTATGGAAGAAGTGAAATGATGAGGGAGAAAAGGCGAGTGGTGCGTTGAGGTATATGTGGAGACAAAAAACGTTATCTATGGAGGCAAAGAAGGGAATGTATGAAAGTACAGTAGTACCAACACTTATATGGGTGTGAAGCTTGGGTTGTGAACACAGCAGTGAGGAGGCAGTTGAAGGCAGTGGAGATGTCCTGTCTAAGGGCAATGTGTGGTGTAAATATTATGCAGAAAATTTGGAGTGTGGAAATTAGAAGGTGTGGAGTTAATAAAAGTATTAGTCAGAGGGCTGAAGAGGGGTTGTTGTGGTGGTTTAGTCATTTAGAGAGAATGGATGGATCAAAGTAGAATGACATGGAGAGCATTTAAATCTGTAGGGGAAGGAAGGCAGGGTAGGGGTCGTATCGTAGGGGTTCTTAATGGAGATATCGAGGGTTGAAGGTAGACACTTGTTGGATGGTAACATATATATTGTCAGACTGTGATGATGAACGTGGAGCCCAGCCTCTGCCTGTCTACGCCTGTTGAGGCCTACACGCCATCTGAGACCGGGGCAGAGGTACGAACGTGCACATGCGCATCCCATGACATCACACAACAGTCACGGGCCTAAAAGGGATCTCCTATCTAAAGCACATGGATGATACTAATATGCTATACAACACAGGGATCAGCAACCATGCTGACAGTCATCTTCAAAAAGGTTGGAAGATAGGGGTATGGGAGGTTTTGTGGGCGAGGGACTTGGACTTCCAGCAGGCATGCGTGAGCGTGTTCGATAGGAGTGAATGGAGACAAATGGCATTTGGGACCTGACGATCTGTTGGAGTGTGAGCAGGGTAATATTTAGTGAAGGGATTCAGGGATTCCAGCAAGCGTGCATGAGCGTGTTAGATAGGAGTGAAAGGAGACGAATGATACTTGGGACCTGACGATCTGTTGGAGTGTGAGCAGGGTAATATTTAGTGAAGGGATTCAGGGAAACCGGTTATTTTCATATAGTCGGACTTGAGTCCTGGAAATGGGAAGTACAATGCCTGCACTTTAAAGGAGGGGTTTGGGATATTGGCAGTTTGGAGGGATATGTTGTGTATCTTTATACGTATATGCTTCTAAACTGTTGTATTCTGAGCACCTCTGCAAAAGCAGTGAAAGTGTTGAATGATGATGAAAGTATTTTCTTTTTGGGGATTTTCTTTCTTTTTTGGGTCACCCTGCCTTGGTGGGAGATGACTGACTTGTTTTGAAAAAAAAAAAAAAAAAAAAAAAATTCAGGGAAACTGGTTATTTTATATAGCCGGACTCTAGTCCTGGAAATGAGAAGTACAATGCCTACACTCTAAAGGAGGGGTTCGGGATATTGGCAGTTTGGAGGGGTATATTTTGTATCTTTATACGTATAACATTCTAAACTGTTGTATTCTGGGCACCTCTGCAAAAACAGTGATTATGTGTGAGTGAAGTGAAAGAGTTGAATGATGATGAAAGTATTTTGTTTTTGTGGTCACCCTGCCTCGGTGAGAGACGGCCGACTTGTTAAAAAAAAAAAAAATGTTAAGTAAAAGGGCAAGTACAACTAATGCGACATTTTATTATGGCAATGTTTCACTCTTCAGGAGCTGTCCAGCTCCTTCTACAAGTTGAGGAATAAGACATTTGCAACACTTTAGTATCTATTTCCACCTCCCACAAAGGGTGGTAGTCAGTCCCTGTTAGTCCAGCAGTGTCTTTACCTGTACATGTATTCAACAAAGCCTTTGTGCAGGCAAAGCACTTCAGCAATAAAGGTACCCAAAAGATGCAAACATGTCTTATTTATGTAATCAAAATATTTCAGAAGCAATAACTATATATGAATTACAGAAAACTAAATGAAGCAGCACAGACTTGTGGCAACCATGAGTAAAAACTGTCACAAGAAATGTGTATCCAATGAACTTTACAGAACACAATATTTTTGTGAAGTCATGTTTAATATTAGTTTTCATTTGATGGGCAATGAAGGGAGGTGGATAATAAAGACTCGAAATTCATGTAAAATTTCTAACAACTTCAGTTGTAAGACAGTCGACTACGGCTGGGTTTAATGACTGCATTAGATCTAGTGCCCCTTCATGTAGCAGAAGTTGTTGGAATATCTTATTTTCACACAATAGTCTTTCCTTGTCCAACGTTCCTTAAAAATGTAGTTAAAAATATACGATGTCTTTGCAAAATAGCTTTATGCAGATTTATAATAGCTTAAACAATGATGTCTAAAGAGAATATGATAAAATCCATGAAACTAAAGCAAGCAAAGCTATACTTACACCTTATCATCAGTTTTATCCAACCCATATGCAAGAGCCGCTGCTGTTGGTTCATTAATGACACGAAGAACATTTAAACCAGCAATCTGCCCAGCATCCTTTGTTGCCTGAAATAAAATTTGTGTAAACTTATCCATATATTAAGTGATAGGGTTACAAGAAAGACTGGTTAATAGCTGCTACTTTGTGCTGCATTCACAAATTACAAACATAACCTAACAAATCTGCCATTTCTCATTTAAGTAACTTAAAAGTAATTTACCACTACCTACTGTTAGTCCAAATCCCCTTCCTTCAATATACCGCACACATTCCATTCGCCTATGTTATATACTCACTAGTGCCTCTACCGTATGCCATCACTTGTACGCAACTATCGCAATAACCCCTCTTCCATTAACTCCACTTTTCATACCCCCCCCCTTTTTTTTCTTTTTTTTTTCACCCAAAAAAAAAAATTGCTGGAAGTCCTGATGATCTGTTGGAGTGTGAGCAGGGTAATATTTAGTGAAGGGATTCAGGGAAACCGGTTATTTTCATATAGTCGGACTCGAGTCCTGGAAATGGGAAGTACAATGCCTGCACTTTAAAGGAGGGGTTTGGGATATTGGCAGTTTGGAGGGATATGTTGTGTAACTTTATATGTGTATGCTTCTAAACTGTTGTATTCTGAGCACCTCTGCAAAAACAGTGATAATGTGCGAGTTGTGAAAGTGTTGAATGATGATGAAAGTATTTTCTTTTTGGGGATTTTTTCTTTTTTGGGTCACCCTGCCTCGGTGGGAGACGGCCGACTTGTTGGGGGGGGGGGGGGTTTGACAATTTCTACTCTTTAATATTCCTGCAACTTTTTATTGTCTTTGTATGATTTATACATTTTCCAGACTATCTGTCAATACACTCAAGTATCACTATATTTCAACTCCTTCCACCCAATCTGACCGATTCCCTCTAATTACATTATCTTTCAACAAACCAGCTGCATCCCACCAAAGCAGGGTGGCTCAAAAAGAAAACAGAAGTTTCTCTTTTTAAATTTAGTAATTTATACAGAAGGGTCATTAGCCCCTTCCTCCTGGCATTTTAGTTGCCTCTTACGACACGCATGGCCTACGGAAGAAGAATTCTGTTCAACTTTCCCATGAACAGAAAATGAACAAGAACTATTAAGAAAATAGAAGAAAACCCAGAGGGGTGTGTATATATACAGTGGACCCTCAACCAGCGATATTAATCCGTTCCTGAGAGCTCATTGTTAATCGAAATAATCGTTAGTCAAGTTAATTTTCCCCATAAGAAATAATGGAAATCAAATTAATCCGTGCAAGACACCCCAAAGTATTGAAAAAAATTTTTACCACACGAAATATTAATTTTAACACACAAACTTAAGACATGCACAGTTACAGGACACTTACCTTTATTGAAGATCTGGTGATGATTGATGGGATGGGAGGAGGGGAGACCATTGATGTTGTTAGTGTTTAGAAGGGGTAGCAAGTCTTTTTCTGGGGTTACTTCCCTTGTTCTTTTAATGCCACTAGGACCAGCTTCAGAGTCACTGGACTTCTGTCGCACAACATATCTGTCCATCGAGGCCTGTACCTCTCGTTCCTTTATCCTAAAGTGTTTCACAACATTGTCAGTGTAATAGTCACCAGCACGGCTTGCAATAGCTGTGTGAGGGTGATTTTCATCAAAAAAGGTTTGCACTTTAAGCCACATTGCACACATTTCCTTAATCTTTGAAGTAGGCAACTTCTTCAATTTCTCTCTCCCCTCCTCCGAAGCAGTTTCCTCAGGTGTGGCCTCTTACTGTTGAAGATGCTCTAGCAGCTCATCAGTGGTTAGTTCATCATTGTCCTCCTCCACCAACTCTTCCACATCCTCCCCACTAACCTCACCAATATGAGCACTAGTTCCAGGCATTTTTTCCTGTTCACCTGGGTGTTAGTCAACTGTTGTGGGTCGCATCCTGGGGGACAAGATTAAGGACCCCCAATGGAAATAAGTTACAGTCCTCGATGATGCACTCACTTTCTTGGGTTATCCTGGGTGGCTAACCCTCCGGGGTTAATCGTTTCTCGGTAATTGTTTCACGTTAAGCCACACCAACACCACTCTCTCCACATCTTCGAGTAATACAGCTGATGGTGGTGCAGCAACAACAGCTGACTGTGGTGCAGCAGCAGCTGCACCTTTGGCAACAACAGCTTCCTTGATTGCTGTTTTCTTACCCACAATAGTAGCGATGGTTGACTGGGGTTTATTATACAACCTGACCAGCTCAGAGACACGCACTCCACTTTCATACTTGGCAATGATCTCTTTCATCTCCATAGTAATTCTCACCCTTTTTGCTGTAGGGTTGGCACTAGAAGCTTTCTTGGGGCCCATGGTGACTTATTTTGCAGGTGCAATCACTACAAAGGCTGTGATAATATGAAATGTTCCAGTTGTTGTATGTTTGGAAGCGACCACGGTGGCTGGCTGGCTTGTAAACACTGGCACCTAGGGACAAGTAAGGCACGCTCAGGCCAAAGTGGACGCGTATGGTACGGAACGAATAGCGCTGGCCGGGTTTTTAAGCGCTAGTCGAGGCAAAATTTTTGTGTTAAAATGTATCGCTAGTCAGATTTATCGTTAATCTATGCCATCGCTGGTTGAGGGTCCACTGTATATGCTTGTACATGAATGAGTAGTGTGACCCAAGAAGTAGCAAGACATACTTGAAGTCCTGCATATTTTTCTTCTTTCAACAAACCGGCCGTATCCCACCGAGGCAGGGTGGCCCAAAAAGAAAAACAAAAGTTTTTTTAAATTTAGTAATTTATACAAGAGAAGGGGCTACTAGCCCCTTGCTCCCGGCGTTTTAGTCGCCTCTTACAACACGCATGGCTTACGAAGGAAGAATTCTGATCCACTTCCCCATGAAGATAACAGGAAATAAACAAGAACTAGTAAGAAAATAGAAGAAAACCCAGAGGGGTGTGTAAAGGAGGGTGTGTAAAGGGTGGGTAAAGGAGGTTTTGTGGGAGAGGGGCTTGGACTTCCAGCAAGCGTGCGTGAGCGTGTTAGATAGGAGTGAATGGAGATGAATGGTACTTGGGACCTGACGATCTGTTGGAGTGTGAGCAGGGTAATATTTAGTGAAGGGATTCAGGGAAACCGGTTATTTTCATATAGTCGGACTCGAGTCCTGGAAATGGAAAGTACAATGCCTGCACTTTAAAGGAGGGGTTTGGGGTATTGGCAGTTTGGAGGGATATATTGTGTATCTTTATACGTATATGCTTCTAAACTGTTGTATTCTGAGCACCTCTGCAAAAACAGTGATAATGTGTGAGTGTGGTGAAAGTGTTGAATGATGATGAAAGACGGCCGACTTGAGAGAGAGAAAAATGTATATATGTGTATATGTATATATATGTATATATACTCCTACTTACACTTTGGTCACACTTCACAGACACGCACATGCATATATATATATATACATACATCTAGGTTTTTCTCCTTTTTCTAAATAGCTCTTGTTCTTTTTATTTCTTCTATTGTCCATGGGGAAGTGGAAAAGAATCTTTCCTCCGTAAGCCATGCGTGTCGTATGAGGCGACTAAAATGCCGGGAGCAATGGGCTAGTAACCCCTTCTCCTGTATACAATTACTAAAAAAGAGAAGAAGAAAAACTTTATAAAACTGGGTTGCTTAAATGTGCGTGGATGTAGTGCGGATGACAAGAAACAGATGATTGCTGATGTTATGAATGAAAAGAAGTTGGATGTCCTGGCCCTAAGCGAAACAAAGCTGAAGGGGGTAGAAGAGTTTCAGTGGGGGGAAATAAATGGGATTAAATCTGGAGTATCTGAGAGAGTTAGAGCAAAGGAAGGGGTAGCAGTAATGTTAAATGATCAGTTATGGAAGGAGAAAAGAGAATATGAATGTGTAAATTCAAGAATTATGTGGATTAAAGTAAAGGTTGGATGCGAGAAGTGGGTCATAATAAGCGTGTATGCACCTGGAGAAGAGAGGAATGCAGAGGAGAGAGAGAGATTTTGGAGATGTTAAGTGAATGTATAGGAGCCTTTGAACCAAGTGAGAGAGTAATTGTGGTAGGGACTTGAATGCTAAAGTAGGAGAAACTTTTAGAGAGGGTGTGGTAGGTAAGTTTGGGTGCCAGGTGTAAATGATAATGGGAGCCCTTTGATTGAACTTTGTATAGAAAGGGGTTTAGTTACAGGTAATACATATTTTAAGAAAAAGAGGATAAATAAGTATACACGATATGATGATAGGGCGAAATGACAGTAGTTTTTATGGATTATGTATTGGTAGATAAAAGACTGTTGAGTAGACTTCAGGATGTACATGTTTATAGAGGGGCCACAGATATATCAGATCACTTTCTAGTTGTAGCTACATTGAGAGTAAAAGGTAGATGGGATACAAGGAGAATAGAAGCATCAGGGAAGAGAGAGGTGAAGGTTTTTAAACTAAAAGAGGAGGCAGTTAGGGTAAGATATAAACAGCTATTGGAGGATAGATGGGCTAATGAGAGCATAGGCAATGGGGTCGAAGAGGTATGGGGTAGGTTTAAAAATGTAGTGTTAGAGTGTTCAGCAGAAGTTTGTGGTTACAGGAAAGTGGGTGCAGGAGGGAAGAGGAGCGATTGGTGGAATGATGATGTAAAGAGAGTAGTAAGGGAGAAAAAGTTAGCATATGAGAAGTTTTTACAAAGTAGAAGTGATGCAAGGAGGGAAGAGTATATGGAGAAAAAGAGAGAAGTTAAGAGAGTGGTGAAGCAATGTAAAAGAGAGCAAATGAGAGAGTGGGTGAGATGTTATCAACAAATTTTGTTGAAAATAAGAAAAAGTTTTGGAGTGAGATTAACAAGTTAAGAAAGCCTAGAGAACAAATGGATTTGTCAGTTAAAAATAGGAGAGGAGAGTTATTAAATGGAGAGTTAGAGGTATTGGGAAGATGGAAGGAATATTTTGAGGAATTGTTAAATGTTGATGAAGATAGGGAAGCTGTGATTTCGTGTATAGGCAAGGAGGAATAACATCTTGTAGGAGTGAGGAAGAGCCAGTTGTGAGTGTGGGGGAAGTTCGTGAGGCAGTAGGTAAAATGAAAGGGGGTAAGGCAGCCGGATTGATGGGATAAAGATAGAAATGTTAAAAGCAGGTGGGGATATAGTTTTGGAGTGGGTTTGGGGCAATTATTTAATAAATGTATGGAAGAGGGTAAGGTACCTAGGATTGGCAGAGAGCATGCATAGTTCCTTTGTATAAAGGCAAAGGGGATAAAAGAGAGTGCAAAAATTATAGGGGGATAAGTCTGTTGAGTGTACCTGGTAAAGTGTATGGTAGAGTTATAATTGAAAGAATTAAGAGTAAGACGGAGAATAGGGTAGCAGATGAACAAGGAGGCTTTAGGAAAGGTAGGGGGGTGTGGACCAGGTGTTTACAGTGAAACATATAAGTGAACAGTATTTAGATAAGGCTAAAGAGGTCTTTGTGGCATTTATGGATTTGGAAAAGGCGTAGACAGGGTGGATAGGGGGCAATGTGGCAGATGTTTGCAAGTGTATGGTGTAGGAGGTAGGTTACTGAAAGCAGTGAAGAGTTTTTTACGAGGATAGTGAGGCTCAAGTTAGAGTATGTAGGAAAGAGGGAAATTTTTTCCCAGTAAAAGTAGGCCTTAGACAAGATGTGTGATGTCACCGTGGTTGTTTAATATATTTATAGATGGGGTTGTAAGAGAAGTAAATGCGAGGGTCTTGGCAAGAGGCGTGGAGTTAAAAGATAAAGAATCACACACAAAGTGGAGTTGTCACAGCTGCTCTTTGCTGATGACACTGCTCTTGGAGATTCTGAAGAGAAGTTGCAGAGATTGGTGGATGAATTTGGTAGGGTGTGCAAAAGAAGAAAATTAAAGGTGAATACAGGAAAGAGTAAGGTTATGAGGATAACAAAAAGATTAGGTGATGAAAGATTGAATATCAGATTGGATGGAGAGAGTATGGAGGAGGTGAACGTATTCAGATATTTGGGAGTGGACGTGTCAGCGGATGGTCTATGAAAGATGAGGTGAATCATAGAATTGATGAGGGAAAAAGAGTGAGTGGTGCACTTAGGAGTCTGTGGAGACAAAGAACTTTGTCCTTGGAGGCAAAGAGGGGAATGTATGAGAGTATAGTTTAACCAACGCTCTTATATGGGTGTGAAGCGTGGGTGATGAATGTTGCAGCGAGGAGAAGGCTGGAGGCAGTGGAGATGTCATGTCTGAGGGCAATGTGTGGTGTGAATATAATGCAGAGAATTCGTAGTTTGGAAGTTAGGAGGAGGTGCGGGATTACCAAAACTGTTGTCCAGAGGGCTGAGGAAGGGTTGTTGAGGTGGTTCGGACATGTAGAGAGAATGGAGCGAAACAGAATGACTTCAAGAGTGTATCAGTCTGTAGTGAAGGAAGGCGGGGTAGGGTCGGCCTAGGAAGGGTTGGAGGAGGGGGTAAAGGAGGTTTTGTGTGCGAGGGGCTTGGACTTCCAGCAGGCATGCGTGAGCGTGTTTGATAGGAGTGAATGGAGACAAATGGTTTTAATACTTGACGTGCTGTTGGAGTGTGAGCAAAGTAACATTTATGAAGGGATTCAGGGAAACCGGCAGGCCGGACTTGAGTCCTGGAGATGGGAAGTACAGTGCCTGCACTCTGAAGGAGGGTGTTAATGTTGCAGTTTAAAAACTGTAGTGTAAAGCACCCTTCTGGCAAGACAGTGATGGAGTGAATGATGGTGAAAGTTTTTCTTTTTCGGGCCACCCTGCCTTGGTGGGAATCGGCCAGTGTGATAATAAAAAAATAAAATGTATATGTATATATGTGTATATGTATATATATGTATATATATGTATATGTATATATATGTTATAGTATGTGTATATATGTATATATATATAATATATGTGTATATATATATGTGTTATATATATGTGTGTAATATATATATATGTATATATATATATATATATATATAAAATATTGTATATAATAATACTTGTACATGTATATGTAGTGTAACCTAAGTGTAAGTAGTAGTAACAAGATGTACCTGAAATCTTGCATATTTACAAGACAGAAAAAAGACACCAGCAATCCTACCATCATGTAAAAATTACAGGTTTCCATTTTACACTCACTTGGCAGGACGGTAGTATCTCCATGGGCAGTTGCTGTCTACCAACTTACTACCTATCTAATTACATATACGTCTTAAACGCGTGATATCACTGCTTATTTCAACTGTTTACACTACCTTCCTAAATTCATCATCTCTGAAAAGTACAAAAAAATCCCAAAACCACTCAACTGTAAATAAAGGTAACGAGCTGTTGGAAAAACACAGCTTTGTATCCTACGGTATTACAATTACTTTCCAAAGCACTACAAATTGTTTACCAATAACAATCAATATTACTAGTTTCTACTTGCCTATTAATCAGTGCAACTTTAAGAACACTAAGGCAAGACAAAAATGTTTAACAAAAAAAAAAAAATGTCAGAACCCGCAAAAACTTGGTTAGTTCACAGAACTACCCTCGTGAAAAATCCTTTTTTGCTCTATGATGTTCTAAAACCATTGTTATGTTTAAAACACAAAATGGGGAACAATACATCAAAATAACAGATTAAGCAAAATCACTTTGGATTTACATAGGCTTAGTGATAAGCCAGAAAAATCCAGAGGCCAGAAACTGGTTGATACTGATGTGTTGTCTAGCTCCGAGTAGTTTTCATAAGCTAAAGGAAAATACCACACCTGTCGTTGAGAGTCGTTAAAATAAGCTGGTACAGTGATGACGGCATTCTTTACAGGAGTGCCAAGGTAAGCTTCTCCAGTCTCTCTCATCTTGACCAGAATGAAAGCACCAATCTGAGATGGAGAGTACATCTTGCCATCACCCCCTTGAACCCAGGCATCCCCATTACTTGCACGAACTATCTTGAAAGGTACAATGTCCCTAAAAGCACAAAAAAAAAACTTGTTTCACAAAAATAAGGTTTATTCATTGGCAAATAATTAAGGTTACATAAATCTTTTTAATATTTATTAGCTTACATTTAGCTCAAAAAAAAAACTTGACAACTAACCTGTCCTTAGTTATTTCCTCATCTTCAAATCTTCTACCAATAAGACGTTTTGTAGCATAGAATGTGTTTTCAGAATTGGTAACTGCCTGCCGTTTAGCTTGGATACCAACCAGACGTTCTCCATCTGTGCATAAGAACAGTAGATCACTGCAGCAGGCTTTCTGTAAGGTTAAGCCCTGGTCCCATGATCTTACTCAATTTTGTATCTAATCACTTTCTTATCACTCAAATATTTATTTTAATAACAAAGAAAGTGGGTAGATGGCAAAAAACATAAAAGGAAACAAGAAAAATGAAAAACAGCAGAGGGAGGTGGAAGGAATGTGGAAAGAAATAAGGAGACAGTGTGAATAAAAAAAAAATAAGTCATTTTTAACCCCTTTAATGAGTTCCCCATATACCTATCAAATTCAGGATCATCTTGATTGAAAAGAAATCAATTCACTGGCATCTCCTACAAGTTAGTACCCCTTTCTCAACTACTAGGTTAGTAACAAAATGGCAGAGCAGATATAAGAGGTAGGCAGAGACTTTGGTGACACTGGTAATTTCCCACTAAGGTAGGGAGACCCATAGGAAATGTGTCAGTATTCATTCAACAGAGGTCTTCCCAGAAGTGTATGACACCACATTTCACAAGTTCCTGAGAACTGCAATATTAGCACCCATCCTTCAGACATGTGCAACACCTGGGTTCCTTTATTTGAAGACATTTTGCCAACCAGTAGTTTTTATCAATTCAATCCAGAGATGATGCACAAAGACAGGATAAGGCGACGAGTCCCACAGCCTTACAGAACCATACAAGAGTTGAAGATGAGGAAATCCGTTCCTCAACCTGCAAGCCAGTGTTCAAATAGATACCCAGACATTGCACACATCTTTAATTGCTCACTGTTTTCCTATTTTACACCATTATTGCAACTAGTGTTGCAATAATGGTATAGTGACTAAATGGTCCGAGTAGAACCAAAATGTCATCTTAAGCTCCTCTGTGTGTGGGTTATTTGTGCATTGTTCCAGTCATGGTATTGTGCCTGTCATTTTTAGTCTTAATGATGCATAAATCATAAGGACTATCAATACAAAAGCTAAAAATTAAGGAAATCAACTTTGATTAAAGTATGTACTGTCTTGTAAATACAGGTACCATCCAACTTACGATCGAGCTTGGTTCCGACCAACCAGTTGTAAGTCAAAATGGACGCAAGTCGAACCTTACTACTGAATATCACCACATTTGTAATGACTATTTTGTTTTATTTTGGCATTTCATTTTTTACTTTACTTTTTATGCTGTTAGTACTGTATTTTATACTGTAAGGTTTAGGATAAACACTGTGTACAATACAAACAGTTGTTTATTTCCCAGAAATTTTCCACAAAAAACATGGTCGTAAGTCGAGTGGTCGTATGTCGAGCAGGTCGTAAGTCGGATGGTAGTTGTATATTTGCCTACTTTACCACATGAAAGTAATATAGGAGCTAAGTAATTTTGTACTAGAAATGTTTAATGCAGATATACATAAAAATAATTTACACATTATTCTCACCTTTGGTAAAGGCAACAACTGAAGGAGTTGTGCGGTCACCTTCTGCATTTGTGATCACCTTGGCAACCTTTCCCTCCATTACAGCAACACAGGAGTTCGTCGTGCCTAAATCTATTCCAATAACAGCGCCTTTAACACCATCTGATCTGAAAGTTTTTTAAAAAATATTCATTCTCCCCTCATACAAACTTATTTGAAACAATTCTCATTATTTATGCCCACTCTAGACTCATTTTGCAATAATGCAAATTTGCTGGATATTTAAATATGTACCCTACAGTATTTTTTCTTATTGAAGTACAGTCTGTAGTGATCAAAGAATGAGGCAGTCTGAAGTTTTAATATATCCAAAGATACTTATTATGAAAATCAAAGGCAGTTTTTTAAAGAAAATTCAAATGATCAAAAAGAAAAGTACAAATCAAATGAACCATGGTACACCTATTCTTATCCTTGTGTTAACTACAGCACTGAATACAGCCTCTCCTCACTTAATAACTGGGTTCTGTTCTTAAGAGTAGGTTGGTAAGGGAATGGGGCATTAAACGAGAAGCATACCATACAGCCTCTCCTAACTTAGCAACGTACTCGTTTACCAATGACTTGGACTTTCGATGGGCTCTGACCAGTATGCATAACTAAATAATGTTTAGAGCTGATTTCCTCCATTCTGTATTACAATATACAGTACACTACTATATAAACATTTAAAAACATAGTAAAAGTGTTATAAATGGTGCAAGGGTAACAGAGCAATATCAAAGATTGTTGACAAACCCACTACCATTATAGAGATGAACACCCCTTACTGTTAACCAAACTTTTATGATGGGTATCTCCCCACTGCAACCTAAACCACTATTATGTACAAAATTTTCATGTCGAATTGTCCCACAAATTACTTATACATGTTATCCATATTCTAATGCCTGTACTAGAATTAAGTACAATAGTCCACATGTACAGTACTGTGCAGTACTAGTTTTAACCCTTTCACTCTCACAAACCCTGGAATTAAAAGTGACTCATGGTTCTTAAAATCTGAAATAGTAAAGAATCTTAAGGTAATGACACCAAAAATGTTAATTTTGATGGAAAATTTGTTGAACTCCACAGGCACAAAGTTGCCAGGCTATGTGCAATTAACGCACTGGCAATTTCACCCAGTCTTATTTTAAGCTGATTACATTACTCAATTTAACCCAATTCCTAGCCGCTTCGCTAATATCCCTACCATTTTACCGAGCATGAGAAACTGCCTATTAAGCTATCAGAATTACCATAGAGCACAGAGTGCACAGAATTGTAATTTGGTGAATTTTACACAAAGTTCAACAAATTCCAAATTAAAAATTCCAAATTAAAAAGCCCAAAATAAAACACTATGCATTGCAGCCACTTTTCCTCTATTCATTAATCAATGTCCCCAAGCCTCCTATACAGTGGAACCTCGGTTTTCGCATGCCCTGGTTTTCGTAGGATTCGGTTTTCAATGATTTTTCATCGAAATTGTCCCAGTTTTCGTATATCCACTCAGTTTAAGTAGAGTTGACAATGGTCCACCATACCAAACGCGTCTGCCTGCTCGCACCCACACAAACATCTCACGCATTCTGACTGTCTAGCTTTGTTTCTCGTGGAGTGAGCATTGCGAGTGTGCCTTCGCGAGTGATTAAGGACATGTGTGGAATGAGTTGCAGTTTTGTGGAGAAATATCACCCTAACAAAGCGAGACATGCCAGAAACAGACCTCTCTGGACAGATTTTTTTTGTGCGACAGGGGTCCAGTGACTCAAGCTGGTCCTAGGGCCAGTAAAAGAAAGAAGGGAAGTAACTCTGGATAGGGCCTTGATACCTGAAATCCTTATGGAGGGGATTCCCCTTCCAAACAATAACCTCTCCTCCTCCCTCTCCCCTCCTTGCCATCTTCCATACACCAACAAGTGTCTTCAATAAACATAAATGTTCACTTATCCACTTCATTAGTCAGTTATATTTCTCAGTTTTCCGTATGTAAAACTAGCTTTTATCTATAAAATGTATTTTTTGGTTAATATTTTTGGGTGTCTGGAACAGATTAATTGGATTAACATTATGGGAAATATTGCTTCAGTTTTCATACAATCTGGTTTTCGTCAGACTTTCTGGAACAAATTAATCACGAAAACCGAGATTCCACTGTACCAATTTTCCTCCATTTGGAATTAATCATTACACAAATTAAATTTTTTACGCTATTTCTCAGATGTAATACAACCAAGAATGACTGGTTGTGGTTTAGGTCATCCCAATTCAAGACAGTAAAAACCCATAAAATTTAAATATTTCTGCCAATTTTGAGCCTATTTCAAGCTACTTCTGGTCTGAAACCAAAACCATTTTTAATTCATTAGTATGTTTTCTATTCAATCAAATAAGAAACCAACAAAACCAGTAAAATAATTCTAAAAAAAAAAAAGTCACTATTTTAAACCAAGGTCAAAGGATTGCTTTTCCCATCATGCACTACATAGAGCATGATTTTTTATACAGTTCACAGTATACATAAAGGTACACCAAGCTTAATAACTTGGATCTATTTGGGAGACCGTGAAAGGTTTTTCCCTGTCCAATATACTTTACATAACAAAAGGTTTACTTCAAATTTACAAAATATAATACAAGAACTTAATCAACACCCTGTAATGCTTGGAAATAAAATTTTGCTTAAACTCCTTCACTATCAGAAACAAATATTAAAAGTACCAACAATGGCGAGAATTTAAAAAAAAAAAAAATATCAAATGGAAAGGAATCTTTCTGAAGGGAGTGACATCAAAAATGCCCACAATACTATTTTAAGCCAATTCCATTACTCAATTCAACCAAAACCGTAGCTATTTCTGAGCACCAGAAACTGCCCAGTCAACCATCAAAACTACCCATAAAGTACACAAGCCAATAATTCAGCCAATTTTACACAAATTTAAACAAATCATTTTAAAGTTCAAAATAAAAACTGTAGGGACTCCAGCCACTAAAGCAACATTTCCTCTGTTCATTAATCATGTCCCCCAGGTCTCCTATATTACACTTGCCATCCATTTTGATATATAAAAACTTTTAGTTTCTCAGATAAAATAAAACCAGGCATGACTGGTCGTGACTGAGGACATTCTACTAGCAGAAGCAGACCTAATAAAATAAAAAAAAAAACAAGGAAAGGTGCCTTATAGTCCTCAAGGAAAAAAATCAAATAACAGTGGACCCCCGGTTTTCGTCCTTAATCTGTTCCAGAAGGTCGGCCGAAATCCAAAATGGACAAAAACCGAAGTAATATTTCCCATAAGAAATAATGTAAATCCAATTAATCCGTTCCAAACACCCAAAAATATTTTAACAAAAATTTAGTAACAGAACTAGGCATTTAAAAACCACATAAAAAGTAAAATACACACTGTCCATTCATTAATTACCTTAAAATATTTGTAGTCTTAATGTAGACAAGAGAATAGTAGTATTTATTTGTAGGAAGTCAGTATAGGTAGCCAGTAGGTGTAGCCTGGGCTACACCTACCAGCTACCTACACTGCCCCAGAGCCATATTATTACCATCGACATACCAAGGCCACCGGGTTAATCGTTTCTAACAACTACCTTTAGATGCCATCACAAACAAACGAAGAAGTAATGAATAATTCATGCCGAAAAGTGTGTACAAAAGCCAGAAAGATTCATACAATTTTCTCTAATGCTGGACCGGAGAAAACGTAATGTTTTCCCTCCACCGACCCACTCCTCGATAGCATATAAACACCATGTTTATATGCTATGTAACGTGTTTCTTATATAATTTTGAGGAAAATATAGACGTATTAATGAAAATGTCTATATTAACATAAAATAAAACATTTAATGTGCCCAAGAGCGAGTCATCAACGTATGAGCAGCCCAGGCAGATGTGTCTGATACCGACAATTTCCAAGCGTATGTACAAAACGAGGGGGGAAATTTCGCCAAAAAGTGATCGAAATCAGACTTGTACAATTTCTGCACTGACCGAAAAACTGGGGGTCCACTGTATTTCTGCTACTTTCAGCTAATTTCAAGCTACTTAGTCATCTACTTCTATAGTACATCTTCCACTATCAATTGATACCAATAAAACCATAAACATCATAGATCTATGCATAAGACAGTGAAAGAGTATGTAACTATTATTGTATTAAACTTCATTACCAACCACCTCTGATTCACAAAAGCTAGTGCAATTACGATGCTAAAAGTTCAGGTTTCAAAGCAGGTTCCTCTGTATCTCGTCTTTACAATAAGTCTAATTAGAGAACTCAACCTAAAGGAATTTCATTAAGTATATATGTACTCAAATATGCCAATTCTTATTTTTAATTTCCCTGTGCTCCATCCTTCCTTTAGCTCTGAATGGTTCCAAGGAGTTACATTTGCAAACTGGTCTTAGAAAGGGCCTCTTAGTTTGGAAAGGAAATATGTACTGTACAGTTTTACAGTATTAAGAACTATAGTACTAAGACGTGTATTAAGAAAGTTAAGCAAAGCATTTTGCATACATGCAGAAGCTTGAAAGATTTACCTCTCCTACACATTCACGAGAAAAAATCTACCGGAGCAAACACTTCGTAGGTGTCTATACTATACAACAAAATTAAATGAAACTTACTTGTATCTCATCTGCATGTTGAAGGTATCTCTCTGGGCAATGATACCCTGAACTGAGGTCTGAAAAAAAATCATATCCAGCATAGTAATATACAATATAAAATATCTAAGTCTTAAATATGTAAAATCCAACTTTGAACTTTTGTTTTTGTTTTACACAGTCATTAATGATCAGGCTTTGCATGAAGTGACTAGTGTTGAATTACTGTGCCTGCATCACATGCACAAAGTGAAAGGTTACTTTTAACAAGTTATTGCAATGCTTTGAAGAATCTTTGATGTACTAGTATTTAGAATGTTTCAGAAAGCAATACAGGTCCGCCACGACATATCCGGCATCACTGGGACCTGTAGTGTGCTAGATTACAGAGTAGTTAGGTTAGAATACACTAAATAAGGTTAACCAACTTTATTTGCAAGAAAGTTCATTGAACATCGGCAAAAATCGAACATTTCTGCTACTTTGAGCTCAATTTCAAGATACTTTTCATTGTGAAACCAATCAAAATATCTATTACTGTAATATATTTTCCATTCTATCAAATGAGACCAAAAAAACGAGAATACAACCATAAAAACCATACGAAAATATACTAAGGGGCAGCTAATGGCTGAGAAGTGAACTCTTATTTATCGTCCAATTTTTTTTTCATTTTTGGTGAAAGTTAAGAAGCATCTTTCCGTCATACATTGCCCAAGTTTCAACAAGATAGCCCAACTGAGAAAAAAATATTTACCAAAACTCATACGACAAGCCCAAGTCAGGTACTGGAAGCAAGTCACTGACCTTTTAGGGTTATCCTTGGTGCTCCATACACATGCTATGAATGATAATCTATGTAACTATTTGTGTATACCTGAATCAACTTACTCCTAATTCTGTCGACCAAGTACAAGAAACCGCCCATTCACCTATTTCAACTACTCAAAGTGGTCAGAAATTGGCAATTTGGCCAATTTCATAAAAATTTCAGAAGATGCTAATTTCACAATAGGGTCCAGAATAAACAATACCTTACCTTTGATATACCTTCGAAGAAATTCGAGAGTATATCTACTCTCTGAGCCCGGCCATGGGCCAGGCTCATTTGGTGCTCGCCTGGTCAACCAGGCTGTTGCTGCTGGAGGCACGCTGCCCCACATATCCATCACAGCCTGGTTGATCTGGCACCTGGTAAAGATACTTGTCTAGTTTCCTCTTGAAGGCTTCAACACTTGTTCCAGCAGTGTTTCTGATATCTTCTGGTATGACGTTGAAAAGTCTGGGACCCCGGATGTTGATACAGTGTTCCCTTATTGTCCCCACCGCACCCCTGCTCCTCACTGGGTTTATTTTACACTTCCTCCCATATCTCTCACTCCAGTATGTTATGGAAGTATGCAGATTTGGGACCAAGCCCTCGAGTACCTTCCAGGTATATATTATCATGTACCTCTCTCTCCTCTGCTCCAATGAGTACACATTCAAGACTTGCAGGCGTTCCCAGTAGTTTAGGTGCTTTACTGGCTCAATGCGAGCCGTAAATGATCTCTATTTGTTCCAGCTCCGATATTTCTCCTGCCCTGAACGGGGCCGTCAGCACTGAGCAATATTCTAAGCGAGGGAGCACTAGCGATTTGAAGAGTGTCACCATCGGCATTGTTTCCCTTGTATTGAAAGTTCTCAATACCCACCCAGTCATCTTCCTGGCTGTCGTGATCTTTGTCTTGTTATGGTCTTTAAAAGAAAGGTCTGCTGACATAATTATTCCTAGGTCTTTTACATGTTCCTTATGTTCTATTTGGTGACCCTCTTAAGTTTTGTATATAGTGCTCCTTTTGTGTCCTTCATTCTTTTTCCATACCTAAGCAGCTGGAACTTATCACCATTGAAAGTCATGTTTTCCACTGCCCACTGGAAAACCCTGTTTATGTTTTATGTTTACACACTCCTGTTTTATGTCTAAGCCCCTTACATACAAATCCACCTTTACTCCCTCTCTCATGCCTTTCCTAGGATGACCCCTACCCCTCCTTTCCCTCCATTTTTTCACTTTAAAATGTGAATTTCAATATACTGGGTCTTTTTTTTTAAAAACAAAATTTATTTATAGGTAGTAGGTTGGTAGACAGCAACCACCCAGGGAAGTACTACCGTCCTGCCAGATGACTGTGAAACAAAAACCTGTAACTGTTTTGCATGATGGTAGGATTGCTGGTTTCTTTTTCTGTCTCATAAACACGCTAAGATAACAGGGATATCTTGCTACTCCTACTTACACTTTGGTCACACTTCACAGACACGCACATGCATATATATATATACATACATCTAGGTTTTTCTCCTTTTTCTAAATAGCTCTTGTTCTTTTTTATTTCTTCTATTGTCCATGGGGAAGTGGAAAAGAATCTTTCCTCCGTAAGCCATGCGTGTCGTATGAGGCGACTAAAATGCCGGGAGCAATGGGCTAGTAACCCCTTCTCCTTGTATACAATTACTAAAAAAGAGAAGAAGAAAACTTTATAAAACTGGTTGCTTAAATGTGCGTGGATGTAGTGCGGATGACAAGAAACAGATGATTGCTGATGTTATGAATGAAAAGAAGTTGGATGTCCTGGCCTAAGCGAAACAAAGCTGAAGGGGTAGGAGAGTTTCAGTGGGGGAATAAATGGGATTAAATCTGGAGTATCTGAGAGTTTAGAGCAAAGGAAGGGGTAGCAGTAATGTTAAATGATCAGTTATGGAAGGAGAAAAGAGAATATAATGTGTAAATTCAAGAATTATTGGATTAAAGTAAAGGTTGGATGCGAGAAGTGGTCATAATAAGCGTGTATGCACCTGGAGAAGAGAGGAATGCAGAGGAGAGAGAGAGATTTTGGGAGATGTTAAGTGAATGTATAGGAGCCTTTGAACCAAGTGAGAGAGTAATTGTGGTAGGGGACTTGAATGCTAAGTAGGAGAAACTTTTAGAGAGGGTGTGGTAGGTAAGTTTGGGGTGCCAGGTGTAAATGATAATGGAGCCTTTGATTGAACTTTGTATAGAAAGGGGTTTAGTTATAGGTAATACATATTTTAAGAAAAAGAGGATAATAAGTATACACGATATGATGTAGGGCGAAATGACAGTAGTTTGTTGGATTATGTATTGGTAGATAAAAGACTGTTGAGTAGACTTCAGGATGTACTGTTTATAGAGGGGCCACAGATATATCAGATCACTTTCTAGTTGTAGCTACACTGAGAGTAAAAGGTAGATGGGATACAAGGAGAATAGAAGCATCAGGGAAGAGAGAGGTGAAGGTTTATAAACTAAAAGAGGAGGCAGTTAGGTAAGATATAAACAGCTATTGGAGGATAGATGGGCTAATGAGAGCATAGGCAATGGGGTCGAAGAGGTATGGGGTAGGTTTAAAAATGTAGTGTTAGAGTGTTCAGCAGAAGTTTGTGGTTACAGGAAAGTGGGTGCAGGAGGGAAGAGGAGCGATTGGTGGAATGATGATGTAAAGAGAGTAGTAAGGGAGAAAAAAGTTAGCATTTGAGAAGTTTTTACAAAGTAGAAGTGATGCAAGGAGGAAGAGTATATGGAGAAAAAGAGAGAAGTTAAGAGAGTGGTGAAGCAATGTAAAAAGAGAGCAAATGAGAGAGTGGGTGAGATGTTATCAACAAATTTTGTTGAAAATAAGAAAAAGTTTTGGAGTGAGATTAACAAGTTAAGAAAGCCTAGAGAACAAATGGATTTGTCAGTTAAAAAAAAGGAGAGGAGGGGTTATTAAAGGGGGAGTTAGAGGTATTGGGAAGATGGAAAGGAATAATTTTGAGGAATTGTTAAATGTTGTGAAGAATAGGGAAGCGTGGATTTCGTGTATAGGGCAAGGAGGAATAACATCTTGTAGAGTGAGGAAGAGCCAGTTGTGAGTGTGGGGGAAGTTCGTGAGGCAGTAGGTAAAATGAAAGGGGTAAGGGAGCCGGGATTGATGGGATAAAGATAGAAATGTTAAAAGCAGGTGGGGATATAGTTTGGAGTGGTTGGTGCAATTATTTAATAAATGTATGGAAGAGGGTAAGGTACCTAGGGATTGGCAGAGAGCATGCATAGTTCCTTTGTATAAAGGCAAAGGGGATAAAAGAGAGTGCAAAAATTATAGGGGGGTAAGTCTGTTGAGTGTACCTGGTAAAGTGTATGGTAAATTATAATTGAAAGAATTAAGAGTAAGACGGAGAATAGGATAGCAGATGAACAAGGAGGCTTTAGGAAAGGTAGGGGGTGTGTGACCAGGTGTTTACAGTGAAACATATAAGTGAACAGTATTTAGATAAGGCTAAAGAGGTCTTTGTGGCATTTATGGATTTGGAAAAGGCGTATGACAGGGTGGATAGGGGGGCAATGTGGCAGATGTGCAAGTGTATGGTGTAGGAGGTAGGTTACTGAAAGCAGTGAAGAGTTTTTTACGAGGATAGTGAGGCTCAAGTTAGAGTATGTAGGAAAGAGGGAAATTTTTTCCCAGTAAAAGTAGGCCTTAGACAAGGATGTGTGATGTCACCGTGGTTGTTTAATATATTTATAGAGGGGGTTGTAAGAGAAGTAAATGCGAGGGTCTTGGCAAGAGGCGTGGAGTTAAAAGATAAAGAATCACACACAAAGTGGGAGTTGTCACAGCTGCTCTTTGCTGATGACACTGTGCTCTTCGGAGATTCTGAAGAGAAGCTGCAGAGATTGGTGGATGAATTTGGTAGGGTGTGCAAAAGAAGAAAATTAAAGGTGAATACAGGAAAGAGTAAGGTTATGAGGATAACAAAAAGATTAGGTGATGAAAGATTGAATATCAGATTGGAGGGGGAGAGTATGGAGGTGGTGAACGTATTCAGATATTTGGGAGTGGACGTGTCAGCGGATGGGTCCTATGAAAGATGAGGTGAATCATAGAATTGATGAGGGAAAAAGAGTGAGTGGTGCACTTAGGAGTCTGTGGAGACAAAGAACTTGTCCTTGGAGGCAAAGAGGGGAATGTATGAGAGTATAGTTTTACCAACGCTCTTATATGGGTGTGAAGCGTGGGTGATGAAATGTTGCAGCGAGGAGAAGGCTGAGGCAGTGGAGATGTCATGTCTGAGGGCAATGTGTGGTGTGAATATAATGCAGAGAATTCGTAGTTTGGAAGTTAGGAGGAGGTGCGGATTACCAAAACTGTTGTCCAGAGGGCTGAGGAAGGTTGTTGAGTGGTTCGGACATGTAGAGAGAATGGAGCGAAACAGAATGACTTCAAGAGTGTATCAGTCTGTAGTGGAAGGAAGGCGGGGTAGGGGTCGGCCTAGGAAGGGTTGGAGGGAGGGGGTAAAGGAGTTTTGTGTGCGAGGGGCTTGGACTTCCAGCAGGCATGCGTGAGCGTGTTTGATAGGAGTGAATGGAGACAAATGGTTTTTAATACTTGACGTGCTGTTGGAGTGTGAGCAAAGTAACATTTATGAAGGGATTCAGGAAACCGGCAGGCCGGACTTGAGTCCTGGAGATGGGAAGTACAGTGCCTGCACTCTGAAGGAGGGTGTTAATGTTGCAGTTTAAAAACTGTAGTGTAAAGCACCCTTCTGGCAAGACAGTGATGGAGTGAATGATGGTGAAAGTTTTTCTTTTTCGGGCCACCCTGCCTTGGTGGGAATCGGCCGGTGTGATAATAATAAAAAAAATTTAGAACTTAAAGAACTGAAGCACAGTCCTAAGAATTTTGACAACCAACACCAGCAGACCTAAAAAAAATTACTTCAGTACACAAATTTCAAAGCTGCATCCTGACCATATTTAACCTTTTGAGGGTCCATCCCATAGTTCTACAGCTTAGAAGCCTGGGACCAAGCTGCAGTTCTACGCCATAAGCTCAGCTCACTCATAAGCTGTGAGCGGTAAATATGGGCCTAGATACGAGACAATACAGCTACGTGGTAAGTATGCACCACAAAAAATCCTGCAGCACACACTGCATAATGAGGAAAAAACTGACTTTTTGGATTAAAACAGCAACCCGAGTGTTTTTTCACAGTTGTATTCGCAGTGTCTGTCTCATTTGATATAACAGAAGATATATTACAGAAATAGAGATGATTTTGATTGGTTTTAGTACTGAAAAAGACTTGAAACTGAGCTCAAAGTAGCAGAAGTGTTTGATTTTTGATGTTCAAGAGTAAACAAACGACGTCACACGTCCAATACACATCAGCTGATGGGTTTAATATATGTTCACGAATTCGCTGATATTATTTATACAATTATTACAATATTGCATAATAGTAAATCTTTTATTTTTTGGCATGAATAAAAATTCATTGTGAATAAAAATCAAAATGGAATTCATTTGTAGTCTGGAAACATAACTGATAAACAGAGTTAACGTTATTTTAGTGCCAGGAATGCCTGCATTGTTTAATTTGAACCCAGTTTTGAAATTGGAATATTTTGAACTGTGAAATTGGCCAAATTACCAATTTCCAATCACTTTATTGGGTAGTTGAAACAGTTGAGTGGGAAATTTCTTGAGCTCAGGCAATAAAATAGAAGTAATACTGGCGAAATAGCTAAGAATTTGGTCGACTGGAATAATGTAATTGGCCTAAAATGAGTCGGAAAAATCGCCGATGCATAAATATTGCTAATGCTGCAAAATTCGTGATAGCATAATTTCATCAATTTTCCATCAAATTTCATACTTTTTGTTTCATTACCTTCAGAAAAAGATTCTAACATTTCATAAGAAAATAATTTTTTTTGAAAATTCTTGGACCCCCCTCAGATAAGTTTCAGATAGGTGGTCTGGACCCTTTCAGGGTCCAGACCCTTTCCTTGTATTAAACATACAGTAAACCTTCAATAAAACAGACATCTACGTAACTAATTTTAGGCATTATCTACAGACTTCCGAAACCAAATAATGACCTGGGTAAAATCTCGGACAAATTTCCTAAGGTACCTACCAGGGCCTACCGAGCAAAACTATTAAATTCACAAGAGCTAAACCTATGAGGGTCATATAGCAAGGAAGGGGTTAGTAGCTCCATTCTTATCTAAAGCCCTTCACCAGAATCATGGTACTACCTGGCTAGTATGGAGCCAGTAATACACAAATAACTCTCACAAGAATAAACTTAGTCATGCTTTTGTGACTATCAAAAGTGGGACCAAAACGTAGCCATTAAGTTTCATTTTCTTATGTGTGGGTTATTATTATTGTTGTTCTTTATGGGACCAGTAAGCCTATAACAGTACTCCAACGTCCTTAAACTTGTACGTACAACAATATTTGAGTTTTACAATAGTATTAGACATGTAGGATTACCTTATAACGCAACATTATTATTATAATCAAGGGGGAAGTGCTAAACCCGGAGGATTATACAGCTTATAACGCAACAGACATTATATACAGATTATTCTATTATAACGCAATAAAGTAATTTTAATTCCACTGGTACTATATACGAGTGGCCAGGACACGCTCTAGTAGGGATCTATAGTAAAGTATTCGCATATTTAACTAAGTGTATAACAAAATTATTTGTAAATTTGAAAATGGAAGAACGAGATTGAGGCAGCTCAGGCAGCAGACAAACACTTGGGAAAATTCCAGAAACTCCTTGAAATTTTAGCGTAACATATCACTATCATTCTTAAATTTAACTATCTTAGAACAATTCTAATGTAAACAGTCCGACAATTTAATCAAAGTTAAGGATTTCCACAAGACATGCATCAAGAATTGAAAATAATCATGGTGCAGCACCGGCGTCATGGCGTCGTCTGCTCCCTTGCTCCATATATTCAACTTTATCTCCCTGTAAATCATTTTAAAACCCCAGTTAGCACTCACCTTCTGCAGGAGCTGAGTAACATTCCTCCTGGCGTTAAGGGCACACAGATTTGTGGCCAGCAGCCTGGCCTTGGACATCATGGTGAGGGAAATGTGTGGTGAGGTATACTGTAGTACCACGTGTGAGGCTGATGCAAGAGCCAGCACCACCACCAAGCACCACCACGACCACCACCCGACGCACCACACTTGGTTCTTCTCTATATCCTTCTCATTTTATTTTCATTTCACTTGATTGTTAGTCACTAAGAACAGAGTGCAAGCATCTTTCAGAAAATGTATATATTTTTCCACTACTAACCAATCCTTGGTTAGAATCAGAGTCAGAACCCCAATGGAAATATATGGATCCCAATGGAAATACAAGGATCCCAATGGAAATACAAGGACCCCAATGGAAATACAAGGATCCCAATGGAAATACAAGGATCTCAATAGAAATTCAAGGATCCCAATGGAAATACAAGGATCCCAATGGAAATACAAGGATCCCAGTGGAAATAAGTCACTCTGTCTGACTTCTTTGGGTTATCCTAGGTAATTTACATTATGTATCATAATTGTAATTATGTGTACCTGTACCTAAATAAACTCAGTGAAAATTCAAGGATCAAAATGGAAATAAGTCACTCTGACTTTTGGGGGGCTTCCTAAGTAATTTACACTATATAAGATAATTATACTTATGTGTACCTGTACCTTAATAAACTCGCTTAATGGAAATTCAAGGAACCCAATGGAAATAAACCCCATAGTTAGGCCTCTTACCTCAATTACCCCCTCTCTCAGCCCCCACCCATCCATTTTCCACATTCCATCCATACCTGTCCTTCCTCCTCAATCTTACCAAACCTCTGGTTATAGAAGAAGAATGGAAATAAGTAACTTTTACTTGTATAGGTTATCCTATGTAATCTGCACACTGGGGTTGTCCCACAGTTACTAAAAACAACAGACATAGCCCCACTCCACAAACGGAGCAGTAAAGCAATAGCAAAGAACTACAGACCGATAGCACTAACATCCCATATCATAAAAATCTTTGAAAGGGTCCTAAGAAGCAAGATCGCCACCCATCTAGAAGTCCATCAATTACACAACTCAGGGCAAAATGGGTTTAGAACAGGTCGCTCCTGTCGCTCCTGCATATAGCCAAAAAAGTATCCAAAACAGTTGGGATCCTCTCCAAGATACGATACTACGTGCCGCAAAATGCCCTTCTCACACTATACCACTCACTTATTTATCCATACCTCACCTATGCTATTTGTGCTTGGGGATCAACTGCAGCAACACACCTAAAGCCAATAATAACCCAACAAAAAGCTGCAGTAAGAATAATCACTAAATCCCATCCCTGGCAGCACACCCCCCCACTCTTCAAAGATCTAAACTTACTCCCAGTTCAGTACATCCACACTTACTACTGTGCAATCTATATCTACAGGGCCTTAAACTCTAATATCAACCTTGACCTAAAACGCTTTCTTGATAGTTGTGACAGAACCCACAGGCATAACACCAGAAACAAACATCTCTACGACATTCCCCGTGTCCGACTAAACCTTTACAAAAATTCAATGTATGTCAAAGGCCCTAAAATCTGGAATACCCTACCTGAGAACTCTAGAACTGCAGACACATTCATCACCTTCAAAACTACCATAAGAAAAAACAAATTTCTCCCTGAAAACACCCGTCAATAACTTAAGGGAATCCACCTTGGACCTTTACATTGTTAAATCCATTCCTAAAAAAGAAATTTTAAAATTTGCCTTCAAAATAATGAACCTGTGAACTCCAAATACTTGAAACTAATAATATGTGAAAACAAAAGCATTTTCAAAGTAAATTCCCCCAAAAAAGTAAGGAACTTAGGCCATAAACAATTACCTCTAATTTGGGGATTTTTAACCATTTGGAAAAAACTAAGTATCCGGAAATCCTAGAGGGGAATTTTAGTGGAACTTGAACCAAAATTTTACTACGAAACCAAAAAAACCAAATTTACCCCCCTGAAAACCGGGGTTGTAATCCTTAAGAAAATAAATTTTGAGGGGAATTTTAATTGAAAAAGGTTTACAAAAACCCAGGACCCAAAGTGCACTGGACAAAGAACCAAAAATCAGTTTGCAGGGCTTCCGACGTTTTTTGCCTGGCAACGCACAAAAAGGAATAACGGAATAACCGGAAAAGGGGGGGTTTGGAAAAATTTTATAATTTCCATAAAAAAACAGAACACAAAGAGTACTAGTCAACAGAGTAAAGTCTTAGGCGTCTTCGGTGAAAAGCTCTGCTCCTCAAGGCACAGTACTCGCTCCCATCTTGTTTTTTCATCCTCATATCTGACATAGCAAGGATGTCAGCCACAGCACCGTGTTTTCCCTTTTTGCAGATGACACCCGAATCTGCATGACAGTGTCTTCCATTGCAGACACTGCAAGGCTCCGGGCGGACAATAAAACCAAATCTTTCAGTGGGCTGCAGAAAACAATATGAAGTTCAACGATGAGAAATTTAAATTTACTCCGATATGGTAAACATGGGGAAAATTTAAAAAACTTCATCAGTGTATAAAACAAATTCCAGCCACACAATAGAGCAAAAAAACTAACGTCAGAGACCTGGAGTGATCAGTCGGAGGATCTCACCTTAAAGGGAAACCATAACATTGTATCAATCGCATCTGCGGAAAAATGACAGGATGGATAATGAGAACCTTCAAAACTAGGGAGGCCAAGCCCATGATGACACTCTTCAGGTCGCTTGTTCTATCTAGGCTGGAATATTGCTGCACACTAACAGCACCTTTCAAGGCAGGTGAAATTGCTGACCTAGAAAATGTACAGAGAACCTTCACGGCGCGCATAACGGAGGTAAAACACCTCAGTTACTGGGAGCGCTTGAAGTTCCTGAACCTGTACTCCCTGGAACGCAGGCGGGAGAGATACATGATTAGATACACCTGGAAAATCCTAGCGGGACTAGTACCGAACTTGCACACGAAAATCACTCGCAACGAAAGCAAAAACTCGGCAGGCGATGCAACATCCCCCTAATGAAAAGCAGGGGTGTCACTAGCACGTTAAGAAACAACACAATAAGTGTCAGGGGCCCAAGACTGTTCAACTGCCTCCCAGCATACATAAGGGGGATAACCAATAGACCCCTGGCTGTCTTCAAGCAGGCACTGGACGAGCACCTAAAGTCGGTACCTGACCAGCCGGGCTGTGGCTCGTACGTTCGATTGCGTGCAGCAGCAGTAACAGCCTGGTTGATCAGGCCCTGATCCACCAAGAGGCCTGGTCACAGACCGGGCCGCGGGGGCGTTGACCCCCGGAACTCTCTCCAGGTAAACCCCAGGTCTCCAGGTAATGTTACGATATATGATAATTATATTCATGTGGACTTGTACCTAAATAAACTTAAATTTTTACATTAATAAAATAATAATAATAATAATAATAAATAATAATAATATAATAAAAAAAATAATAATAATAAAATAATAATAATAATAATTTATTTAATAATTTTATTTTTAAAATAATTTAATTCTTGAATCAATGGTTCTAATGTTGGGGGGGGTTGTTTCCCCTCATTTTAATTTTTAATTTGGGATGTCCTGTTACCTTCCAATAGTACTTATTAATGTGGGGTCCAACCTGGGGACGATTAAAGGGCCCCAAAGGAAAAGGAACATCTCAGGATGATTTCCGGAATGGGGTAAACCCCAGGTTTCCGAACGAAAACTTACATCATCTACTGCTAATTTTTGGGTTTCCATAATTATATTATGTGATTGTAACAAGACCTTCCTGCATTTAAATTTTAATTATCTCCCCCGAATTCAAAGATAAAAATAGGAAATAGTTGCCGCAGGAGGGATTACCCCAGCCTTGGAACGGGTTGAAGTCACTTGCCAACATTTTTGGAATTCTTATGAGGGGAAAAATTTTGCCGCCGTTTTTCTTCAGCAATACAAAGGGAAAAAAACGGAAATTGGGAGGTTTAATTTGGGAATTAGCCCTTAGCCTGACGAGGTTTAAAATTCCTTCGCCTTTTGGAATTTACAAAAACTTTCCCAGGTTTGGTTTTCCCATTTCCTCGTTTTTCCAAATTGGACTGGAAAAGCCCGGCTGGACGAAATTTTTTCATCCAAAAAGTTTTCCCAAATGGTTTGGAACAACCTTCCTCATTCTTTAAAATTTGGCGGAAAACCCCCTTTTTATCACCCAAACTGACAATTTTCATTCTTAAGCGGTTTTAAAACCCCTTTCACCTAAATTTGTTATCCTTAAAACTTTGTCTCTGTTCACCTATCAGTACAACAGGTATAATGGGTGTTAGTTGACTGGTGTGGGTCACATCCCGGGGACAAAATTAACTTAATTTGCCCAAAATGCTCTGCATAACCAGGGACTTTTTATATAGCAGTATGTCGTGATGTCAGCTAGGCCTGTATATATTGTACATGTACTTGTAGAAATAAAGATATTAGTATTATCTCAGTCAGATATAATTCTTGTACCAAGAATTATTCTGCTGAATTTCAGCGTGACCTGTTTAGCATGGACCAGTAGGTAGTGAGCCTCCTGTGACACCAAAGGCATACTTACGTTTGTCTTAAAGTCTTATTCATGTACTTGTCGGTATTGTATACAGTGGAAATCAAAGACCCAAGTGGAAATCAAGGACCCTAATGGAAATAAGTTACTTCGATTTTATGGGACTATCCTAGGTAATTGACACTATGGCCTCATAGCTAAAGCTGTCGCTTCACACGGCAAGGGTCTGCGTTCGATTCCCAGCGAGGGTAGAAAGACTGGTCGTGTTTCTTTAAACCGGTTGTCTATGTTCACCCATCAGTAAAATGGGTACCTAGGAGTTAGTCGCCTGGTGTGGATCGCATCCTGGGACAAGGACCTAATTCGCCCGAAATGCTCTGCATAACAAAGGGCTTTCTATGTCATTGATGTCAGCTAGGCCTATATACCATGCACAAGTACTTGTAGTAAATAAAGATTTTTTTTCAACAAGTCGGCCGTCTCCCACCGAGGCAGGGTGACCCAAAAAAGAAGGAAAATCCCCAAAAAGAAAATACTTTCATCATCATTCAACACTTTCACCACACTCACACATTATCACTGTTTTTGCAGA